GGAGCACTGCGACTGGAGCTGCTGGAGCTGGGGACTCTGGCGCTGGCGGTGCTAGCGGAGTTGGAGCTCCCGACTCTGGGGGTGGCACTGCTGCTGGTGCTGCGGACCCACCTGGTGGAGCTGCTGCTGGAGCTGGGGACCCGGCCGGTGGAGCTGCTGCTGGTGCTGTGGACCCGGACGCTGGAGCTCCTACTGGTGCTGAGGACCCGGCCGCTGGAGTCCCTTCTGCTTCTAGAGACGCTGCGCGGCCGCGACCGTACTTCGTACCGCTCCTTCAGCAGGTTCTTGGGCAGGCTCCTCCTCCTTGTCCTCCTCCCTCCGTAGAGTGTCCTCCGCCTGTCCAGCCGCAGTCACAGTTACCGCCTGCCTCGCCTCTCCCTGCTCCCTCTCCTTATACTGGTCCCACAGGAGGTCTTACAGAGCGTCGTGAGCCTGAGTCTCGTCCTGCGTCGCCTGTTCGTCCTGCTCGCACTGGTAGTCGTGTCCGTCGTGAGCGTCCTCCTCCTGTCCCAGGCACTCACTACATGACTCTGCGTCCCTCTACTGCTCCTCGGCGTGTCCCTCTACCGTCTCCTCCTGCGTCCTCTTTGCCTGCCGTTCCGGACCCTGAGTCTGACCGGTATCGCGCTGAGCACCCTACAGTCACGCGTCTCCTTGCTACTGTTGTCACTGACCCCACCTTTGAGTCCTCGGCTGCGTCTGCTCTGGTCGCTGAGTTGGTTGACTTTGCTGCTGCCTGTCGTCTAGACTACGCTGCTAGCCTTGTCGCTGAGTCAGAGTCTGCGTCTGTCTGTCCTCCGTCCGTCGGGGGTGAGTGTGCTCTTGGCACGGACGTCCTTGAGGACAGGCAGGAGGACTTTGACTCACTTGCGGCTGCTGTACCTCATCTCGTGGCCTGGTTGCTTGCCCCTGAGGGAGACCCGGATGCAGTAGACATCCCCACTCCGCGCACTTACGCAGAGGCGATCTCGGGTCCCTACTCCTCTCAGTGGCAGACAGCCATGGACGCAGAGATGGCATCCTGGAAGTCCACAGGCACCTACGTCGACGAGGTTCCCCCTCCTGGGGCGAACATCGTCGATGGTATGTGGATTTTCAGGGTGAAGCGGCCGCCAGGTTCTCCGCCTGTCTTCAAGGCTCGTTACGTTGCTAGAGGCTTCAGTCAGCGTCAGGGGGTCGACTTCTTCCAGACTTTCTCCCCCACCCCGAAGATGACCACTCTTCGGGTTCTGCTGCACGTTGCTGCTCAGCGTGACTACGAGCTTCACTCTCTTGACTTCAGCACAGCGTTCCTGCAGGGCAGCCTGCACGAGGAGATCTGGCTGCGCCGCCCACCTGGCTTTACTGGGTCGTTTCCCCCTGGTACCCAGTGGAGTCTCCGCCGGCCAGTCTACGGTCTCCGCCAGGCACCACGTGAGTGGCACGACACACTGAGGACTACTCTTGCGGCTCTTGGGTTCGCGCCGTCTACTGCTGACCCGTCGCTGTTTCTGCGCACAGACACGTCGCTGCCGCCGTTCTACATTCTCGTGTACGTCGACGACTTGGTCTTTGCTACTGCTGACACTGAGGCACTCGCTCGTGTGAAGTCGGAGCTGCAGAAGAGACACACGTGCACTGACCTGGGTGAACTGCGTAGCTACCTTGGCTTGCAGATCACCCGGGACAGAGCTCGCCGCACCATCACCCTGACTCAGTCACACATGGTGCAGCAGGTCCTTCAGCGCTTCGGCTTCCAGTTCTCCTCACCACAGGCCACACCTCTGGCTACCAGCCACTCGCTCTCAGCTCCACCTTCGGACGAGTCCGTAGAGCCGAGTGGCCCGTACCCAGAGCTTGTAGGCTGCCTCATGTACCTGATGACTTGCACGCGACCTGACCTCGCGTACCCTCTTAGCATCCTTGCTCGTTACGTTGCGCCTGGGAGACACAGGCGAGAGCACTGGGAGGCTGCTAAGAGGGTGCTGCGTTACCTGTGCAGTACATCAGGCATGGGGCTGGTGCTTGGAGGACGCGACAGAGTTGTCCTCACTGGTCACTCGGACGCCTCTTGGGTGGACGACCTGGCTACGCAGCGGTCGTCACAGGGTTACACCTTCAGCCTTGGCTCAGGTTCTGTCTCGTGGCGGTCCACCCGCTCTTCCTCTGTTCTCGGCTCTAGTTGTGAGGCTGAGATCTACGCCACAGCCATGGCTGCACAGGAGTTACGCTGGCTCACCTACCTGCTGACTGACTTGGGAGAGCGGCCTAGTTCTCCTCCAGTTCTGTACGGTGACAACAAGGCGGCTCTTGCCTTGTGTCAGGAGCACAGACTGGAGCACAGGACGAAGCACATTGCTCTTCGCTACTTTCTTGCTCGAGAGCTTCAGCAGCGCGGTCAGCTTCGGCTTGTGTACGTGGACTCGAAGGCCAACACTGCTGATATCTTCACCAAGGCGCTCCCGCCTAGTGATCATCAGCGGCACTGTACTTCTTTAGGCCTTGTGTCCACGTTTCCTCACTTGCTCACTGCTTGACATTCTTTGTACTGTACTTTATATATATCTTGTTGCTTGCTTGCTAGGTTTTGATCACTGTGTTGCTTGTCTTGTACTATATCTAGCACTGCATGTGAACTGGCCTTGTGGCCTTTACTTGTGCTCGGAGTGTGGTGACGTTGTGATCCACCCTGGGCTTTGCTTTGCTTTGCTGGACTGGTCTTGTGACCCTTTGTTCTCCCCCACTTTGCCTATGGGGGTGTGTTAAACTGCATTATGCTTGTAGGCTGTAGTGGGGTAGCCAATATGGGGTACAACCCCAACTAGGGTTTGCTACTTGTACCCAACTGTTTCATTCAATGCATCATTCTTGCCTAGTTCTTCTGACAATTACGTGCATCAATTGTTGCTGTAGTTTGGCCAAAAGACCTGAAATGACACATTAATGATCTTTATTAGATTGCATAGTTTACACGCAAAGCAATGATTGGGCTATGAGGCAATCCGAGACCGGAAAATGCAGTGGTGTGTGAACCTGCCCGAAGGCATTGGCTGCCTTGGGCAAGGGAGAGGTGCGCGACTACCGCCGGGGTCCACGAGTGAGCGGATGGTTTGAGAAGCGGCCACCATGACGCCCCGGTCCACTGGGGAACTACCAATGTGAGTTCCGCCTGTGTGAGTTCGGCATGGCGGAGTGTAGCGGGGACTAAGTGTGGTGGCGGGAAGGCAAAGCACCTCTCGCCTTTCCAAGTAATAAAAAATGCATCGACGGCAAACGCGTCAGGGTGCGGAATCTTGGAGCAGAAGCGTTGGACGTGATTGTTCCGAGCGTTAGCAAATAGATCAATCGTGTGCGGCCCCCAACGACGCTCTAGGAGGCAAAATCAAGGCCTATGTAGGGAGTAGTCATCATGATCTTGCAGCTTGGATAGGTCATCCGCATGGGCGTTGAGCGCTCTCGGAATCCATTCAATGGCGAGGCGTGTTGTGTTGCCTAGACAGAACTGGATGATCGCTTGGCATGTCAACGTAAGATCCGCCTGACGGGATCCCCCTTTGCGCAATATGAACATAACTGCCTGGTTGTCCACCCGGACGAGGACGTGAGCACCTGCAATTCGGGTTGCGAACGTCTGCAATGCCCAGAGCACGCCCTCGAGCTCTCGTCGCGTACTGGATGTGGGGAGGAGCTCGCATGGCATGCGTTCGCTTGCTTCGCATGAAGCACTTGGGAACTTGGCCAAGGTGGCGCCCCAGCTGTGTGCGCTTGCGTCGACGTGGATCACGGCATCAAAGCGTTGACTCTGGTGGAATGGGGCACCATTGAAACGATCGAATTGCGCTGTCCAAAACAACAACTCCTCCGTCGCTCCTGGTGACAACATAACCTTCGCGTTCCATGACAACGCGGAGTCGATCAAGTGCAGAAGCTCATGGCTGAAGGCACGCGCCGTCGTGCCCAGCGCGAGCGACATGGAGCTGAGAAGTCCAATGATTCGGGCTATCTTACGTATCGGCACTTGTCGACCCGCTTGACCTTTTTTGACGAGGAGGTGGGGCTCATGTAGTAGTTGCTCGCGCCGATCTTTTCCGATGAGGAACATCCCTCGTTCCGTGTCGAGCTCCATCCCCAAGAAGCGCAAGTGGTGTGTGGGATGCAGGTTTGACTTTTTTGCATTTATCACGAATCCCGCCGCCTTCAGGTCTTGGAGAACTTCGATGCACGTCGAACGGGCTTGCGCCTCGGAATCGCACAGGAATAGTAGATCGTCCACGTATGGTATTACGCGCACTCCGCGCGCGCGCCATCTCTTGGCTAGCTGCTTAATTAGCTGGGTGAAGACGAACGGGGCTGTTGCCAAGCCGAAAGGTAAAGATGTGAAGCAATAGAACTTCCCATCGAGTTGAAAGCCCAAAAACCTCCAGCATGAGGAGTGGATTTCGACATGGTGATAGCCTGACTTCAGATCGATTGTGAACATCCAATCGTTTGGGCGAATGATCTCCGCGACCCGACTCAGGCCCTCGTACTTGAACTTGGGAACTTGGAGGTGAGTGTTGACCTTCCGCAGGTCAAGAATGAGCGGCATTTGTCTCGTTGTTCGACAACGTTGAGCGGGCTAATGCATGTCAGTGCTGCTTTCGACGAGACCTGTACCGCGGCTCCTGACGCGATGAGGTCGCTGACGGCGCTTTGGGTGAAAGCCATGTGTGCTTGAACCCCCGCGTGATTGAGGGTTTCGAAGGGGGGTGGCTCCGCGCCCTTCCATGGTAGCCAATATCCTTTGGCAATGATGGAGAGGATGAAACTGCTGTCGCACCAGGACAGCCACCAGTGGAGGTTGTTGCGCAATCGCCTTCGCATGATGGACACCATGTTATCCGTTATTGCGTGCTCGTATGGGTCCCAGTGAGCGTCTTGCCACTCGCTTTCAACTTCTGCAACAGCGAGCAACCGAGGTTGTGGGAAGGAAAAAGAACCGAGGTTGATTAGGCGCGAGAGAAGGCGGGACACTTAGCAGGTCAACTATGTTGCTCGCCTTTAACCGTCGTCGCTCCTCTCCACTCCCCCGTTTTTTTTTTTTTTTTTTTTTTTTTACACTTCCCTGGCCACCCGTCAGCCGTGACACCCTTGCATATGTTATTATTATTATTATTATTATTATTATTATTATTATTATTATTATTATTATTATTATTATTATTATTATTATTATTATTATTATTATTATTATTATTATTATTATTATTATTATTATTATTATTTATTATTATTATTATTATTATTATTATTATTATTATTATTATTATTATTATTATTTTAACTTGGAAGTCGCCTTGCGAGGAGATCGGTGCATGTGCATCCCTTGGTCCCACGACCTTGTTCATCTCAAAGCCGTTGTGGTCTCTCTCTCGAGAGAGAGATCTCTCTCTCTCTCTCTCTCTCTCTCGATCTCTCTCTCTCTCTTCTCTCTCTCTCTCTCTCTCTCTCTCTCTCTCTCTCTCCCTCTCTCTCTCTTCTCTCTCTCTCTCTCTCTCTCTCACTCTCTCTCTCTCTCTCTCCCTCTCTCTCTCTCTCTCTCTCTCTCTCTCCTCTCTCTCTCTCTCTCTCTCTCTCTCTCTCCTCTCTCTCTCTCTCTCTCTCTCTCTCTCTCTCTCTCTCTCTCTCTCTCCCTCTCTCTGTCCTTCTCCTCTTCCTTATTCCATGTCTCTCTCTCTTCCTCTCCCCTCCCCCATTTTTTTTTTCTTTGCTTTGCTCAGCCCTTATTTCGTGATTCACACCTAGCCAAGCTTCCTTCATGGCTGCCTTCCTTGAGGTGGGGCTTGCTTTTGACATGCCGTGCCAGCCTTCTTTCATCCCCTTGTTGTTGTGTCTTCATTTTTTTTTTTTTTAATCAACCTTTATTATTCCACACAAAGGCATGCAAGCGTAGGCCTACGCCCTAACCAGCCCCTACGGCTGCACTTTTTCCCTGGCCCCCTTGGCCTGAGCTATGCTCCAAGGCTCCTAACCAGCCTACGCACCACCGGTGCATCCACCTACGCCCCCCGGCATAGTGGCAAGGGGCGCCGCCCCATGGGTCCTCTCACACCACGGGTGCGGGGCCTTGTGCGCCACGCCCTCCCATAGGGCAGTTGTTGGCCATGTGTCCGGGCTGGCCGCAACGGAAGCACACGCCCTTGAAGCGGGGCTCATGGCAGGCCGCGGGTGGCATGCCCTTGCTTTCCGGTTCACCGTCTCGAGGGGGAAGGCGGCCTCCGCGGGCGAAGCCGGTACGTGCACGCTTGAGGGCCGCCACGTCGGCTACCGCGAGCTTGTAAGAGCGCGACGTGAGTACGCTCTTCGCTTGGTACAACTGGAACCGATCCGCCGCCTCGAACCCGGCCTCATCCGCCACCAAGAGCACCTCGAAACGCTTGTTGATAAGCGTCTCGACTTGCGCCACGTTGGAGAGCGCTCCCTCGACGTCGCCGTTTTGGAGTTTGAACTCGACGTGTCGCAGATGTGCTTGAATTGCAGAAAAAAACCTCTGCCTGGTCACGCACTCCCTTGCGCATGAAGGTAGTAGCTGCGGGTGAAGGGTTGAGGGGAGGAAAGGGGGGGAGGTGCGGGTGCGAGAATGCGACGACGAGCAAGGTTGTCGGGGGCCTCACCGTCGTCATTGTCAGAGTTGTCGCTGTCGTCAATAGCGGGAGCTTGAACTGGTTCAGGAGCCGGGGCGGGGTGCAGCGGCGGCGGTGGCGCGAGCGACCTTGGTGGTGCGAGGGGTCGCGACGGCTTCTTTCTGCTTTTCCGTTTTTACGGATGCAGAATTGTAGTCGGTCGATGTAGCAATTGTACCAGGCGACTGCTGCTGCAATATCGAGAAAATCGCCTGCAGCTGCTGCGCAGTCAAAGGGGGGAGGGCGTTGACTTGCGCGACGTCAGCAGAGGGTGCCGCGCGCTGGCGCTTCTGCGTCGTGGGCCCGAGTTGACCCGCGTCAGCCGCGGTCAAGACGGCGGTCGCGTCAGCGGCCGCCGTCGTCTTCTGCAGCGCGCGTGCCTGCCTGCCAGGCACGCGCTCTTCAGCAGTCACACGCGGCTGCACAGCAGCCGCGCGTGTGTCTTCTGACGCAGCGCGAAGGGTGCCTCCGAGCAGGAGGTCGACAGCCAAGGGTCCCTCGGCAGAAATTTCTTCTGCACTCCGTTTTCCGCGACGATCGGTTGCCCCGGCGGGAGTTGAAGTTTCCGCCGCGTTACCGGGGCTTGAAGTAGTCGCGTTGTCGCGGTTAAGCGCCGAGTTCGCCGGAGCCATGTTAGATAAGTTACGCTGAAGGATATCGTCTAGGAGTGTTGTCGGGGCTGTGAAGCGCGGGAGGGATTGTGTCTTCGCCAGAGTGACGAGAACGAGAAATTAGAACTACAAACTGAGAAATGAAAACGTGGGTGGGGACGAATGTCCCCACGTCCCTCTTTTGTAGGCAAAAGAGGGCGAGTAGCGCTTCGGCGCTACCTTTGCTGTGCTGGCCACGTACCCCTTTTCACAATACAAAATTTTAGAAAGTGTTACATTTCATTACACTTTAAAAAATTATCATATTTGTGCTTCCCCAACCTCCAGGAATTCGCACCCCAACTTTCGCGACGCTCCGCACGGTTTCGTTAGGGTTGAGACGCTTTTCGTCAACATGTTCACGGACCAGAGCCTTCCTCCGCCAAATTTTCTGCCGTGTCCTCCGCTCCCCGCCCATGCGCGGTGAGAGTAGCAGCATTGCGAATTTCATCCTTGCTGGGCGGACATAATCGCGTCCGCGCATTGGGAACTGTAAGAGCAGAGTTACAGTAGAAGGATTCTCGTTCTCAATATTCCTCTCACTCCGTTAGGTTAGGGAAGGATCCCGTTATTCGACTGAACGTAGGCAACGGCCAAGTATCACTTACTTTCCTCAACGCTGCTGAGGTGGATTTGTCTTCGGACTCTTGTTCGCTCTCTGTTACGAGTCTCGACTCCCGCGGCCCAGGAAACTTTAAACTCTGTAGTGCAACACCACTTACAGCACGCCTGCCACATTTTCCGCCAACATTTACCCTACTTTTTACTACTTACCGTCCCCACAACATCTTCCTCCTTCAGCCATATTCGGTGCCTCGTCCACTGTTCGCGTCGCGCTATCAGCAACTGCCACGTCAGCTCCGCCGCAGACAAGAATTTCACGTGCCTCACCACCAACGATGACGTCAGCAGCAGCAATGACGTCCCTTCCAACGAAGTCAGCAGCTGCTGTTCTCACAGTTCCCCTTAAACCCCTATCATCGCATTCACTCTCCGTACCTGTGCGGCGCGAGGGCCAGCAGTGGCAGTTGCGGAGTTATGGGGTCCAGCGCAGGAGTGCAGGAGGTGTGGTGAGCGCATCGGGCCAGGGTGAAAGCGGTCAGGGACGCGGTCACCCGGACACGAAACGCCCCCTATTTACCAAGGTACTCCGCGCAAGGGGGATGGCGGGAGTTTGGGGAGAGGGGGGAAGGGGCGCGGGAGAGGGGAGAGGGAGGTGGGGAAGAGGGGAGAGGGGAGAGTGGGGAGAGAGGGGAGGTGGGGTGGGGTTGGGGTGTGGGGAGGGGTAGGTTGGGGTGGGAGTGGGGGGAGAGAGGGAGGGGAGGTGGGGAGGGTCAAGGGGAAAGGGGAGGATAGGGGGGAAGATGCAGAATAGAAATTCAAAAGGGTGGTGGGGTTGGTTTGCGTTGTCCGCTGATCTAATTTCACCTTGATGCTCTGCCAGCCTGTCAAATTCTCTTTCGTCGCATGCTATCTATCCTTCCATCAGGCTACGTGAGGCTATGCTTCCAATTCACACACTGCTCGCTCTCCCTCCCCCCTGCTCAACGTTACCCCATCTCCCTCCATCAATTGTATCAGGACGATGGCCCATACTTCGCCAAAGCTTTAGGGGGATGTGTGGTAGGAGCGGTGGCAATTAAATACGGAAGCCTCTTCATTGTGCCGCAGCTTACCGAATCACCCAGCCTGGCTGTTGCCCTCACAATTATCATGACTCCTGTTGTAGTGGCTGCGATTTTGCTTGCATATGCAAGCTCGAAGTCTGACTGACATGGCTCCCATAAGATATTATCGTACGGGAATCGTCGTCTTGCAAACATCCTGGTCATTTGGGGATTATGGAGCGTGCACACTAATTTCGACAAACTTTGCATGAAAATCAAGTTATGTGCTCACCAAATAAACCAATGTGGGGGGGGGGGGGGGGTTCTGGGCAGGGACTCTGGGAATTAACAAAGCCGGTGTAATAGGTAAGGGTGAAAGGGTTTTGAGTTGAAAAGTGTGATATTGAGACCTAGAGACTGCGTAGCACATTCGACTTTTGTTTGCATACCGAGAGAGAGGAACAATTGGCTGGAAGTCGACACTCTAACGGGGTTGCAAAAGATGAGCTAGTCGGATTTGTGGTCGGCGTGACATTCAAGGGCCCAATCCTATCAAGCGCAGACCGTGACATTCTCTTTGCTGTGCTGGTCGCACGAATTCTTTGTCTTCTCGACGCTGAGTTGGCTCACCGACAGGAATAGCAGTACGTGGAAAGTACCGCGGTGCGCCTCGTACCGCACAACCACAAAGTGCTGCCTTCTGGTTAACACGTGTAAACCGACATACGTACACAAACTTCCGCCAATTGGAGCTGCTCAGGCGTCCTTTTCACAGAGACAGCTGCTGACGAGTCAATTCTTCCACGTGGCTGTTGCTGGTCAGCGGTACAGCTGGCGCCGAGTCTCCGCGCGGTGCGCACGCACCGCACCGCCGCGACGCCACTCCTCACCAAACTGTACTGCAGCGAGTCAGCGCCCAATTCCTATGGGCAGTAGATTTCGCACATTTTCGCTACTCACGCCCCGCCGCGTTATATCACCACGAAAACATACCAGCTTGGCTAGTCTGCTTCCTCCCCCCGCATTTGCCCACCTTCCTCCTAAAAGCTACCTAGCTTCTGTGCTTTCCCGCTAGCCCAAGACCACCTTCTCAGCTGCTCTTTCTGCGCCAGCGAGTGTAAACAGTACAGCTTGATTGTAGTTCCTGAGTACCAACAGAGCAGCAGCCTGCCGCCTAGCTCCTCCCTCGGCTCGACTTGCACTCGCGGGGCAATTGATCACTGGCATTTGGTTACTGTAAGCTACGTATCGTGGCACGTTGGCGCAACCGGGAATATCTGGAATACACCACTAGTGGACGACGCTGGAAATAATCGATAATGGGCTGCGAAATTACGACACTATGGAAGCACGTAACGGAAGGCGACGAGTCGTCGTCGCTGGAATCACCAATTTCGCGAATGGACGATGCGATTGTCGCGAAGATACTGCAGAAGCTTCGCGATCGCAAGGACGTCGTTTCCGCTCTCTGCGTCTGCAAGGCATGGCGCCGCGTCTCTCCAATGGCCGTGCGCCACGTGTCCACGGTCTTCGATCCCGTTCAAGCGCACTCCAGTCTCTTCTTGGCTGACGTCAGCAACCGTGGGTTCGTCACGCGCCGCGATCCTTCCATAATCGAAAACTGGACGGCGATCACAGCGCCGGGAAGATCCAATAGCTTTCTGCCACGTGGCGAAGAATCGCGGCTCTCCAACGGCCTGTGGAGCTCCCCAAATGAATGGTCGCCAAGCCAGGTTCGGGAGCTGGTTCGACATGTCCCAAACCTGCTAAGTGTCGGCTTGGCATGCCGCGCGGAACATCTGGGTCCGATCCTAAAGATCCTAGGAGGTGAGGGGAAGTGCCATGTCGCTGGTAGCAGCGTTGACGAGGGAGGACTAAAGCCGGACGGTAATGGATTGAAGTCGCTCGAGTCCTGCGCCTTAGAGGTGGTATCGCGACCCGATGTGAGAGGCACGGGCAGGTTAGCGGAAGGCCTGGAGGCAATAGCGAAAGGCTGTCCGCGACTCACGGCGCTGCGCCTGCAAGGAAGGTTCGTCGTGCTGAACGAGCTTGACAGCATCGGTAGCGGCGGCGGCGGCGGCGGAGACGGCGATGATTGCGGAGGCAGCAGCAGTGTTTCTCTTCCAAGGATCGTCGCGCGCTGCTTTTCCCGCCTCACGAGCCTTGCTCTCCCGCTCGTGTTTCTCCCCAAAGCGTTTCTCTTAGCTAAGCGTCTCAAGCGCCTCTCGCTCTCGCTCTCCCTCCCCGCGGAGCCCAGCCTCCAATCCGGATCGCCCTTCTCGCATCTCACCTGCCTCGAGTCGCTCTCTCTAACGATCACTTATCACCCGCCGCCGCCCGATCGCGTATCGCCTGATAGCGTATCGCTCACTCCACACGAGCTGCATGTTATGGTCGGCCTACAGCTGCCGACGCAGCGCGACGCAGCACTGCCGCACTCCCCTGCCGTCCTCTCGCCGGCCCTTTTTGCCGGCCTTGCGCCGTCGCTAACCGCTCTCTTCTTCAAGCACCACGCTCCTAAAGGAACTCCCTATAACGAGGACGAACCGAGTCGCCACGCAGGGAGCCGCCTCCACGCCACGTCAGCAGTCATTCCGGAGTCGCTGTGGTCGCTGACTGGCCTGGAGTCGCTCCGGCTGGATACCGGATCGTGCTGTAGCGAGTGCGACTGTAACGTGTACTGCCACGTGGCGCGGATGAGCCGTCTCACGACCCTCGAAGTCCTCGCGCCGCTCGCAGCCCCTCCGATTCAGGACACGGACTCGAACGGTGCGACTTCGTGTGGAGAGATGCAGTCTGAGGAGGTGAAAGGGCAGAAGGGAGGAGACGCTTCTGAAACACTGCCACGTGCTGGTGCTGTTGCTGACGCTGCTGATGGTGCTGCTGCTCCTCCTCCTCCTCCTCCTCCTGCTACTGCTACTGTTGCAGCTGGCGGTGCGTCCGCAGCTGCTGGCCGTTCATCGCACCACGCGAGTGCAGCCGGCGCCACTCACTGCCCCTTCTCCCACGCCGCCTCCTCCGCACCTCTACCCGCCTTCCACCCCCAACTCCTCTCTCACGCACCTACCTGCCCGGTGGTAATGCCAGCAGAGGTGACTCTAGAGTCGCCTCACTCGCCTCTCGCCGCCTCCATCTCTGCACACTCCCCTCCCTCATCTCTTCTCTCCCACTCCTCTCCATCCTCCCTCCTCCCGCGCTCTCCGCTCGCGGCCCTCAGCACGCTCCAGCTAGACGTTGCCTACCTCCTCCTCCCCTCGTTTGGCGCACACCTCCCTGCAGTCACGCGCCTCTCCCTCCACTCCATCCGCTTCTGTCACACCCGCGCCTGCCCCTCCGCGCTCCTCGCTTCCCTCTCCGCCTTCCCCTCCCTGCGCCACCTCTCCCTCTCCCTCTCCACCGCTCTCCACCCCAACCCAGCCCCACTCCCTCTTTCGCAAGCACCACTAAGTTCGAGCCAGCAGCCAGTCTGCCCGCATGCTTCGTCCTCACAGACCGGTGCTAGCAGTGCTACGGGAGCTAGCAGTGCTACGGGTGCTACGGGTGCTGCTGGCGGTGCAGCAACCGAGTCTCCCTCGCCTCTCTGCCTCTGCCAACTGCTGCACACACACAGGCACGTGCAGAATTGTCATCACCTGCGCTCCCTTTGCCAGGGGAAGACAGCAGCTGCGGGCGAACAGCAGCAGCAGCAGCAGCAGCAACAGCAGCAGCAGCAGCAGCAGCAGCGTGCGTTGGAGCAGCTGTGTTCTCTCACCATCAGTGTGTGTGAGGAAGCTGGCCGGCGCAGTAGCAGAAGAAACAGCGCCAGGGGTGATGGCGGTGGCAGCATTGGTGGTGGCAGTGGCAGCAGCAGCGGTGAGCGGAGCACAGTGGAGCAGCAGGCAGCAGAATTGCTCGCTCTGTTGGCCCAAGAAGCTCCCAACTTGAAATACCTGTCCCTCTCCCCACCCCTCCCTCCCTCACTCTCCTCAGAATCCCCAAACCTCCCACACTCCTTGCATCCCTCCTGCACCCACCTCTCCACTTCTCACCTTGCCCCCCCTTCCCTCGTCTCTCCCCTCCCACCCTTACCCAATCTGCAAGTGCTGCAGCTGAACTCCCTCCCCTCCATGCCTCTCCCTCTCTTCCTCCGCCTAGCCTCCCTCCCAAGCCTCACAGACTTCATCATTGACAATGCTGCAGAGAGTGCGACTGCAGACAGTGCGACATTAGACAGTGTGACTGTAGACAGTGCCACTACTGCTGATGCGGTGACTGCAGCAGATGTGGCTTCAATGAGTGTGACTACAGGGGGTGCTGCTACTGCTCCTCCACTCACCCTTCGCCTGTGCAATATCCATGCTAACAGCGGCCTTCTCTCCTCGCTTCACCTCATCCCCACCCTTCACACTCTCGTCCTCCCTCCTCTCTCTTGGCTTACCACCATCCCTCCCTCACTCTCTCTCTCCCCTTCCCTCTCCCTCATACGCTTTATCGACTGGAGCAACCTATCAGGGTTACCAGAAGAGATGGCTAATGCTCCTAGTGTGTTGATGGAGATTGAGATAAGGGGGGAGCACAGTGTGGAGTATCTGTCATCCAAACTTCAGGATTTGGTTTGTTTCAGGGAGAGTAGATGCTTAGGCTAACAACATGCCAGAATTGTAAAGCTCAGGACCTTTGCTTGCATGTTTGTTTCATAAAGTCTAACTGAAGATAACTCATCTCCAAGGAGGATCATCATATGCACATCAAAGCAAGTAGTACATCTATAACGTGGCATGAAACATTTAGTGTGAAACATGCGGAAAGATGACAAACATACTGGTAGTGAACAGGAAACAACAAAGTTGTAAGAGGACAGGCACCATTTGCACTGTATTTCCTTAACCAGAATACATTATCTACAATCGCAACAAACCTACGGTACCTATGCACACATGCAAATTTTACACAACACAGCACGCAAGCTTTGGATGCCATCATCATTGTCGGAAGAGGCACCGCCATCACTGCACAATGCACAACTCTCACCCCAAAGCATGTGCCAGAAAATCCACGCCTCCCCCTCCCTCCCAGTTTCCACATTGCATCACAATCCCCCTTTGGTCACATCAGCCCTACACCCACAGCAGGCGCCATGAGCACCAGCATCCATGGCAGCGCCTGCAGCAGCAGCCAATCTGTGCCAGTACACCCGGCCATAACTACAATATCTCTAAGCCTTAGCCACAGGCAGCCTCCCCTTCACCAGAATCGCTCTCCCCTTTTTGCTGGCATCAGCCAAGCAACCATAGCAGGTGCCATCGATAGCAGCGTCCATGGAAGCGCCTGCTGGAGCAGTACCGTACCAGCAGTCACTCTACCCCTTCACCAAATCATTCTCCCCCTTTGGCCAGCATAAGCCCTACAACCATAGCAGGAGCCATGAGAACCAGCATCCATGGCAGCGCCTGCATCAGCATCCGCTCCTGTCGCGACTCCTCCTGTTTCCGCCCACTCAACGTGTAATTTCCGAAGCCCGTGAGAAACATTTTGTACATGTAGTCGTCTAATAACGACGGCCTGTCGTTCTGAGTCTGCTCCTTCTGCCGCTGCTTCGCGGGATTATGCGAATCGCCTTCGAATAGGGCTTGCGCGGCGCGTCTCTTGATGTGGTGGTCCGCGCCGCGGAAATGGCAGAGGGATTTGTAGAGGCGACGCGCTTCGTCGTGCGCGCCGAGCTTCTCGAGGCACGCTGCTTTCTGGAGCGAGGCCTCGCCGTGGTGATATGTGTCGTCCTCTGATTGGCCGAGCACTTTGTCGAAATGCGCGATGGCCGTGGTGTATTTCGCCTGTTACGTCGCCATAAGCACAGATCAGGACAGAAAATAGAACGGAAGCAATCATAAACAACAGTGTCATTCATACGGTCTCAAACTGGATTCGGTGGAAGCGCATGAAACGGCCACAAGATGTGGTTACTTTGTGCAGTTACAAGGCAAATTAACACACCTGAGAGAACATTATCTTGCCGAACCGAAGCTCGTGATCCAAATGGGCTTTAAGAGCGGCCCGCTTCAACTGCTCCTCCCTCGCTTTCGTCTGCTGCTCGATCTTCACAATCTCCTCCGCAATCAGCCTCTGCTTCTCCTCCTCATCCAGATCCTGCAAAATAGTTTGTAACAGTGGAACACGGAAAAGAATAAGTGTTTACCAACGGTTGGAAATGACAACAATGCCAGGGAAAGGTGGAAACGATGATGGGATAACACAGGCAAAAGTTAATGTTAAGATAAATTTTGATGGAATACTGCTCCTTACATGGGAGGAATGATGGAAGCCATGTGCGACGGCTCGAGGGAGCTCAAGCGACTTCGGTTTGTGCCTTGGAGGGAAAGTGCCGTCACTCGAGAGCATGCACAGTACTCTACGCCGTTGTTGAGCCGCGCTTGATGCATCGGCTTCGATTTGGACCGAGACTAATCTCGATGAAACAAGAGACCGCGTGAAACCGCACAACGGCAGAACTTGGCTCCCCATAAGCAGATTCAGGAATGACGCCAACAATAGTCTAACGTGCGAAGTAAAAAATGTATTAAACCGCTAAACAACCAGAACAGCAAGTTCGCTGATGGGGTCAAGGGTCGGACGGCTGCCAGGAACGAGCAGCAGAAAATCAACACCGAATGGGTCAGGTAACTGGAGAAAAGCGGCAGGAAGCAGAGCAGGCAACGGTGATTTGGCGGAAATACAAGAGACCCAGAAGAGAGGTTGGAGCAGCTATGGTTGTGTCAAAGCTCGAGGTGTCAAAGCCGAAACTGCACAGCTGCCATTCTTACAAAAAAACAGTGTTACATTTTACGTTTATTCTACCCGCCTGATGTAATGAAAGTCAGGGCAGATCCGAAAGTCCCACGATAACTGGCCCAAGCGCCAAACTACTATGGGCTAGGTTTGGTTTGAAGGCTGGATGCGTTCATGATTGCATTGCGAGCAGAAGACAGGCTCGTTCAGGGTGAAAAGCAAAAAGTGGATATTCTGTCTCGTTCGGAGGCCTCCGAGGCAGAAGTTTGTGGTTTGTAACTCCTACGAAGCTGGAGATGGACGATTAGTAGAGGTCCTTTTTGCCGCGCTGTGTGCTTTGTTGGGCAGCATGAGAGGTTCGGAACCCGAAATACAATCTCCGCGTCATATGGGTGGTGAGACACGCCAGAAAGTGGATCTGGTAGCTGACACGTCACTGGTGCTGACTAGGCGATGTCATTGGTGATCTTTTGAAAACACTTCTCCTTTTAGAAGCTTGGGAAATCTTTTCAGTACAGTTGCAATTTGTGGCAAAGCTGTAGGTCGCACCGCTGCTGACAACCATGTGACTCTATGCCCCCAAACCAGTGAATAATGTATAACTACTAAGCAGCTTCTGTCATCAATAACATCCCCTCTGCCAACGACATCATTTCTTGTCTGCGAAGTCAACAATGTGGTGTGGAAACATGTTGCGTGACATATTGATTCGTGACAGGGGTCCATAATGAGATACTTCCAATCCAAAGAATAATGTAGACCTTACTAAAAACAAACCTTGAATGGCTTTTCTGTAACCTTCATGTGCGGGTAGCTTTTGGTACATTTTGTTGAGCTATCCCATGGGTGACATCTACTAGATTCAGTCTGCACCATCCCTTTCCCCATCGTCCTCCCCATCCACACTCATCCATCAACACTCATCTGCTCACCCTCCCCTCCCTCCTTCCCCTGCTCTTGTCCTGCCAAGTCCTCTCCCTCCCCACTCCCACCATCCCCATCCTCCTCCCCCTCTACTGCCTTCTCCTCACACTCCACTCGAATATCACCCCCTCTTTCCACCTTCATCTCACCCCCTCCTTCCCCCTTCATCTCCTCCTCCCCCTTCTCTTCCTCCCTCACCTCCTCCCTTCCCTCCTCCCTTCCCTCCTCCCTCCTCCCCTCCCTGCTTTCCTCCCTTGTGGGAGACACGGGTCCAAAGGCAACAGGCGGGGGGTTATCCACCAGCCACTTGCTCGCCTCCTCCTCCTCCTCCTCCTCCTCCCCTCCCTCCCTCACTCTCTCACTCCCCCCCTCGCCCTTCTCCCCAGCACCGCTTCCAGACCCACCCCTCTCCTCCTTCTCCCCCTCCTCCTCCTTCCTCTCATCTATCCTCCCCACTTCCACCCTAGCCTCCCTACCATCACCACCACTCGCTCCTCTCCCCCTGCTGCCCGCGTCGCCCCCACCGCTTCCCTCGCCACCGCCACTCCCACCGCTGCTGACACCACTACTACCACCAGCAGAGCCACTACCCACCGCCACTCCCCCGCTGCTCCTAGCCCTGCCCTCCGCCGTCCCACCACCCGCCCCACCACCCACCCCACCACCCGACCCACCACCCCCATCGGCCCCACCCAGTTCCATCACTGCTTCCTCCACCACCACTTCTCGAAAGAACCCCGCAAACTCAGGCGAGTGCGGGGCAATGTCAGGGGAACCTGGCCTCATGTTGGGAGAATCTGACCTGCCCCCGCCCCCCCTCTCATCCGTCTCCATTGCTGCAGTTCCCCCCTCCCCCCCCTCCTCCTCATCCCCCTTCCCTCCACCCCCTTCCGCACCCTCCCCCTCCTGTCCTGCTGCTCCCCCCTCTTGCCTTGCCCTGCCTCCCTGGTTCGGAAGCTGGGGTTTTGAGGGCGGTGGGGAGGTTTGGGAGGGCGGAGGGAGCGAGGAGGGGGAGGAGGAGGAGGGGGAGGTGCGGTAGAGGCGGTGGAGATGGGCGGGGGGGAGGGGGAGGGCGGGGAACGGGGCTGTGGGGGGAGGGGCGGAGGAGGTCACTAGGAGCAGCTGCAGGAGAGGGGGGGAGGAGAGAGGAAGACAGGTAAGGGGGGAGAGGGAAAGAGAGGGAGGGATGGATAGCAGGACAGAGGAGCAGAGGGAGAAGGGGATAGGGAGAGGGAGAGGTGAGCGGCGATGTTGCGGGTGGGAAGGGTGAAAGTGGGAGCAGGCACTGTGTGTGGGTGCAAACGCATGAGTGGAGAGGAAGAGGGGTGCATGAGCAGAAACAGAAAGCACAATGCCTGTAGGGGATTGAAACGAGACTGCGAACGAACAGTGGTTAGAAACACTGGGCTGGTTAGAGTCAGACGGTTGAGCAAGAGCACCAACCTTTTTTACTTTTGAGTCGACTCAAAAGTCAACTGGTTAGAGTCAGACGGTTGAGCAAGAGCACCAACCTTTTTTACTTTTGAGTCGACTCAAAAGTCAACTGGTTAGAGTCAGACGGTTGAGCAAGAGCACCAACCTTTTTTACTTTGGAGTCGACTCAAAAGTCAACTGGTTAGAGTCAGACGGTTGAGCAAGAGCACCAACCTTTTTTACTTTTGAGTCGACTCAAAAGTCAACTGGTTAGAGTCAGACGGTTGAGCAAGAGCACCAACCTTTTTTACTTTTGAGTCGACTCAAAAGTCAACTGGTTAGAGTCAGACGGTTGAGCAAGAGCACCAACCTTTTTTACTTTTGAGTCGACTCAAAAGTCAACTGGTTAGAGTCAGACGGTTGAGCAAGAGCACCAACCTTTTTTACTTTTGAGTCGACTCAAAAGTCAACTGGTTAGAGTCAGACGGTTGAGCAAGAGCACCAACCTTTTTTACTTTGGAGTCGACTCAAAAGTCAACTGGTTAGAGTCAGACGGTTGAGCAAGAGCACCAACCTTTTTTACTTTTGAGTCGACTCAAAAGTCAACTGGTTAGAGTCAGACGGTTGAGCAAGAGCACCAACCTTTTTTACTTTTGAGTCGACTCAAAAGTCAACTGGTTAGAGTCAGACGGTTGAGCAAGAGCACCAACCTTTTTTACTTTTGAGTCGACTCAAAAGTCAACTGGTTAGAGTCAGACGGTTGAGCAAGAGCACCAACCTTTTTTACTTTTGAGTCGACTCAAAAGTCAACTGGTTAGAGTCAGACGGTTGAGCAAGAGCACCAACCTTTTTTACTTTTGAGTCGACTCAAAAGTCAACTGGTTAGAGTCAGACGGTTGAGCAAGAGCACCAACCTTTTTTACTTTTGAGTCGACTCAAAAGTCAACTGGTTAGAGTCAGACGGTTGAGCAAGAGCACCAACCTTTTCAAGAGCAAAGGCGACACGGAGGTTGGTGTAGGTGGCTCGGGGGTTGAGAAGAACCTGGGAGACAGCCAGGGGAAATGACAGGTAAATTTGCAGTAGGAGGTGATACAGGTAAGATTGCAGGAGGAGGAAAAACAGGAGAATCTACAGCAGGTGAAAGGACAGGTGGTTTTTCAGCAACTGGTGAAAACGCAGCAGGACTGGTGGAAAAAGAGAGAACACATGTCAAAAGCTGACTCGGTACAAGCACACACCTCACAGATGCGCTGAATGGTGAAAGGTGGCCCGTCTGTGAATGCCTCAAGGTCTGTATGCGGGGGGGGGGGGGGGGGGGGGGGGGAACGAGGTGGGGGTGGGGGTCGGGGGGAAGCGTGTGCAGGGTGCGGCTTTTGAGGCACCTCAAAAGAGGGGGGGGAGCGCGGTGCAGGGGTAATTGAGGCGGAAAGGGACGAATGGTGAGTAATGGACAGAAACTTGCATGCGCTGAATGGAGAACGGCGCCCCTTCTAAAGAACAAGCGTATGTGCAGTCAAGGTTCCCACCCCTAGCTAGAAGTCCACATGTCACTGTCTTCAATCACGTAGATTGGGCGAGCAGCAGGTTGGAAAGACCTTCAGAAAAGGTCTGGCAGTGATATGCCATGGTAGTAAAATGTCATGGTAGTAAAATGTCATGGTAGTAAAATGTCATGGTAGTAAAATGTCATGGTAGTAAAATGTCATGGTAGTAAAATGTCATGGTAGTAAAATGTCATGGTAGTAAAATGTCATGGTAGTAAAATGTCATGGTAGTAAAATGTCATGGTAGTAAAATGTCATGGTAGTAAAATGTCATGGTAGTAAAATGTCATGGTAGTAAAATGTCATGGTAGTAAAATGTCATGGTAGTAAAATGTCATGGTAGTAAAATGTCATGGTAGTAAAATGTCATGGTAGTAAAATGTCATGGTAGTAAAATGTCATGGTAGTAAAATGTCATGGTAGTAAAATGTCATGGTAGTAAAATGTCATGGTAGTAAAATGTCATGGTAGTAAAATGTCATGGTAGTAAAATGTCATGGTAGTAAAATGTCATGGTAGTAAAATGTCATGGTAGTAAAATGTCATGGTAGTAAAATGTCATGGTAGTAAAATGTCATGGTAGTAAAATGTCATGGTAGTAAAATGTCATGGTAGTAAAATGTCATGGTAGTAAAATGTCATGGTAGTAAAATGTCATGGTAGTAAAATGTCATGGTAGTAAAATGTCATGGTAGTAAAATGTCATGGTAGTAAAATGTCATGGTAGTAAAATGTCATGGTAGTAAAATGTCATGGTAGTAAAATGTCATGGTAGTAAAATGTCATGGTAGTAAAATGTCATGGTAGTAAAATGTCATGGTAGTAAAATGTCATGGTAGTAAAATGTCATGGTAGTAAAATGTCATGGTAGTAAAATGTCATGGTAGTAAAATGTCATGGTAGTAAAATGTCATGGTAGTAAAATGTCATGGTAGTAAAATGTCATGGTAGTAAAATGTCATGGTAGTAAAATGTCATGGTAGTAAAATGTCATGGTAGTAAAATGTCATGGTAGTAAAATGTCATGGTAGTAAAATGTCATGGTAGTAAAATGTCATGGTAGTAAAATGTCATGGTAGTAAAATGTCATGGTAGTAAAATGTCATGGTAGTAAAATGTCATGGTAGTAAAATGTCATGGTAGTAAAATGTCATGGTAGTAAAATGTCATGGTAGTAAAATGTCATGGTAGTAAAATGTCATGGTAGTAAAATGTCATGGTAGTAAAATGTCATGGTAGTAAAATGTCATGGTAGTAAAATGTCATGGTAGTAAAATGTCATGGTAGTAAAATGTCATGGTAGTAAAATGTCATGGTAGTAAAATGTCATGGTAGTAAAATGTCATGGTAGTAAAATGTCATGGTAGTAAAATGTCATGGTAGTAAAATGTCATGGTAGCAAAATGTCATGGTAGCAAAATGCCATGGTAGCAAAATGCCATGGTAGTAAAATGTCATGGTAGTAAAATGTCATGGTAGTAAAATGTCATGGTAGTAAAATGTCATGGTAGTAAAATGTCATGGTAGTAAAATGTCATGGTAGTAAAATGTCATGGTAGTAAAATGTCATGGTAGTAAAATGTCATGGTAGTAAAATGTCATGGTAGTAAAATGTCATGGTAGTAAAATGTCATGGTAGTAAAATGTCATGGTAGTAAAATGTCATGGTAGTAAAATGTCATGGTAGTAAAATGTCATGGTAGTAAAATGTCAGAGTGAACAAGCTCACACGAGAGGATGCGATGCGCTCGCTCAGCTCGGCAAACATCTCCCTTTAAAAGATGTGGCAGTAAAATGACAGTGGTAGTAGTGTGTCAGAGGGCGCACACGTACAGGTTAAAGGAGAGTGGTACAGGTTTAGGAATCCGGTCACTTAACTAGGCAAACATGTGTTTTGAGTCCACTTAAAACACATAAAGGAGAGTGGCACGAGAGAATGCACGCGCTCACCTCCGCAAACGTCTCCCCTGACGGCAGGGGGCCTCCAGTCACGTGGACTGGGCAAGCAGCAGTTTGGAAAAGATCGTCAGCAAAGGAGTGACAGTGGAACCTCAGTGATTGTCACGTCAAAGTGCACAGAACTACATAAGGGGGGCCAAGCACACGTACATGAGAGGATGCGTTCACTCAGCTCCGCAAACGTCTCTCCTGATGGCAGCGGGCGAGGCGGACCCACCCCTGCCACACGCTCTGTTTCATACTCCTCCAGAACCTGAGGAGTGGGTGGGGGGTGGAGGGCGGGAGAGGGCAGGAGTAGTGATGAATTTTGGAAGCAAGATACGCGAGGCGGACCCACCCCTGCCACGCGCTCTGTCTCATACTCCTCCAGCACCTGAGGGGTGGCGGGTGGAGGTGGGGTGAGAGGGGAGACACAGGCGACATGGTGCATCACTCTGGCCTGCCACACGTTGTGACTACATGGCGAGGAGGGCCCACCCCTGCCACGCGCTCTGTCTCATAGTCCTCCAAGACCTGAGGGATGGCGGGTGCGGATGGCAGGGGAGGGTGGCAGGGGAGGGCGGCAGGGGAGGGTGGCAGGGGAGGGTGGCAGGGGAGGGTGGCAAGGGAGGGTGGAACAAACAACGCCTATGAAAAGCAAGATACACAAGGGAGACCCACCCCTGACATGCGATCTGTCACCTTGCAGGTGTTTTGGGGTGACTCAAGATGATGCGCTGTGCAAGGTACTATATACCATTCCAAAATCTCATGTGTGCCAGGTGATGAGTGGGAATGTGGGGTGGGGGGGATACGACGTTCCATAAAATGAGGGGAAGGGATGAGAGGTTGGCTGACATACCAAAGGGAATGTGTGCATATGCACACAGGCACAAATAAAGCCCACTCCATCTGTACCTGAGAGATGGTGAATCCCAATAGCTCCCTCACGCTCTCCCAGTCATGCCTGGATTATGAAGAAGGGAAATGGACACAGGGAGAAACACAGGGAGAGACACAGGGAGAGACACAGGGAGAGACACAGGGAGAGACACAGGGAGAGACACAGGGAGAGACACAGGGAGAGACACAGGGAGAGACACAGGGAGAGACACAGGGAGAGACACAGGGAGAAACACAGGGAGAAACACAGGGAGAAACACAGGGAAGAAACAAGGGGTGGGACAGAGGGTTTGAAATGAATTCAATCCAGCCGGAGTATCAGGGTGGAAATGAAAGTTAGGGAGAAGGATAGGGAGGAAGCACGGGATGGGGACAGCGTAAGGCGGAGGCAAAAGAGAGGGGAATGAGTGAAGGAGGCGAGCATCCAGAGACAGCACAAAACAACAAAAACAAAAACAAGGAACGAGTCTTGCACAAAGCGAAAAAAGAATACTTATCCAACAGAGAGGATAATGTTTGATGAAAATAGTTGCTAGTTGCTCATAGAGTCCAGAAAATGAGTACCCCCCCAAGCACATGCTTTGACGAAATGTGCTGCCATTCCACCAACCAGAAATTAGTTCTGTTACCCATGAAGCAGAAACCATCATCCACGTAACAGAATACACTACACATAATATATTTCCCACTGAATCACCCTAAGGACTCGAAAAAAAATGTTCTACCAACAATCCTATCTGCTACCTACAAGACAGAATCCGTTACCCATCAGTAAGTGCCTGGGAGGGCAGTGACAGAATCCGTTACCCATCAGTAAGTGCCTGGGAGGGCAGTGACAGAATCCGTTACCCATGAGCTCCGTTGACAGCTCCTTCTCGATACTGATCGTCTGGACAGGGTTCAGCAGGCACAAAACGGGATCCGTCACCCAACTAACGGAATCCGTCACCCAACTAACTGAATCCGTCACCCACCAGACGGTGCCTGTGACGGCAGTGACTTCCAGAATCGCCTTGAGTTCCGGTGACAGCTCCCTCTCGCCTGGCGACCTGCAGGTTAGTGGTGGGGGATGGGAATTGGAGGGTGCCGGATGGTGCAAATGGTAAGAACCTCAAGCATTAAGCTAGGACAATCAGACAGCTCCTTGCTGTCTAATGACCTGCAGGCTAGCGGTGGGGGATGAGAATTGGAGGGTTCCAGGTGGGTGGAAATGGGAAGGACCTCTCGCATTCATCTAGGACAATCAGACAGCTCCGTGTCGCCGTTTAGGATAGCACGAAAGCAACTCCAACATGGCTTCTTCATGCGCCGTTAGAGCAGTGCCGACAGTGCATGAAGCCGATGCGACACGCGTGGTGACATACTCCAAGTGAAGACCATAAAGAATAGAAGATTGCGCATAATGAGCACGACAAATCTACAGTACGTTACGCATTGCGACGAAGCACGCACCGATTCCGAAATGCGGTTAGCGCTGCTGCTGCCGGCAGAGACGACACGGCCATCGTCGTAGGACTGCCTTCTGTCGTCGATTTCTGTCGTCGATTTCTTTCGTGGAACGATTGATTACTGCCGGTTGGTAACTAAGCAGCTGGACTGCTTCAGTGTGATGTGGGGAAATAATTGGTTTGAAATAGCCTCTATCACGTTTCCTCCCTTCAGTTTGCTGGTTGCCTCAACTCAGCCTGCTACACAGCTCCAGATAAAAAGCGCGAACCCCAGCAATAGCACCAAGCAAATTGGCAATGACGTGCGATTCAATATGGCGTACGGTCCCAGCCTAGGGCAGCTCCTCGCAGTCTGCTATCGTCACCCCGCCTACCTTGCTGGTCCAGAGACCAAGAGCACTGGGAACCGCGCTCCGTCAAAATGGCGGGAAGCACGCAAGGGACCTTGGAGATTGGGAGGGGGAGACGAGACGAGACGGGACTCTCGAGGGGAGTGCTCTTCGCAGTTCGTCCTCAAGAGGCGGTGAACGCAATAATGTTTAATATCAGGTGAGCATACAACTAATCAAGCAAAAAAAAATTAAAATATGCACAATCCTACATACGGTGCCACCAATGTACAAAATGTCTACAGGTCTGCCACATTTGAATATTAGTGCCCGCAATATGAAGGGCCCTTCAGAAGGGTACCCGTCTCAAAACAGCCGCTATGCCTTCACAGCAGTGCCGACAACGTGCGGCGCCAGCAGCGACAGCCCTGGAACCATCACCTCTCTCGCTTGAACTGCACCAAACCCCCCCAGCTTGCTGGAAGTCAGAGGGTTGCGCATGAGATGACACCTACCGTATCTGCCAGTGCAGATTGCAGTGTGACCTTTCTTACAGTTTTTTACGATACGGTAGAATGTGATAGAGTGTGATCGACTGTGATAAGAGTGGAAGGGAACTTGTACAATGGCAACTGCTAGGCCTTCATAGCCGTGCCGACAACATGTGGCGCCAGCAGCGACAGCCCAGGAACCATCACCTCCCTTGCTTGCACCGCACCAAACCCCGATAGCTTGATGGAAGTGAGAGGGCTGCGCGTGAGATGACACCCGTCTGCCAGTGCAGATTGCAGTGGGTCCAACAGTCGCTGCCATGTGTGCAGAGCGGTGCCCTGCGGTGCCGCCACGTGCTCCAGGAAGTAGTAACTGGGGCAGGCAGGAATGACAGAGATAGGTGAACGGAGAGATGGAGGAAAGGAGGAGAAAAAAAAGGAATGGAACGTAAGAGAGATGCATGTCAAATTCTTGTCAAGGATGATTCCGTTCCAGGGTCCTGCAGGTCCTGGCAAATACCCTGCTCCTGTTCTGCATCTTGATTCAGTGCAGCACGCACTGCTTTCCGCCCACACATCCCATTGACCAGGCGGAAATGTGCATTCACCGGGCTTTAACCGGTTGGCCAATTACTTGGGGACTGATGAACCAAAGACCTGGCAGCACCATCTCCCTGGCCTTAATTGTAGTTGGGCCTGCTAGTTTCTTCATGGCGGTAAAATGGACGGGGAGGGGTGTGCTACCTGAGCGTCTAAGCTTTGACTGCTTGGCCAATCACGTGAGGGCTGATGAGCCACAGCCCTGGCAGCATCACCTCCCTGGCTTTAACTGCAGCGAAGCCTGCTAGCTTGATGGTAGGGAGGGGGTTGCGTGTGATGTGGCAGCCGTCGTATAGCAGGGGCTGTAAAGGGTCTAGGATGGTTTGCCAGAGGTGCAGAGCGGTGCCATGCGGTGCTGCTACGTGCTCCAGGAAGTAATAGCTGGGTGGGAGGGACGGGGGACAAATAGGGAAGAGGAAGGAAAGAAGAGAGAGGGGTGGGGAGAGAAGAAAAGAGGGGAAAGAGGGGAAAGAGAAGAGGAGATGGAGAAGCGGAGAGGAAGGAGAAGAAGACAGCGATGAGGGAGGGAACAGGAGGGAGAGGGGGAAGAACGGAAGAGTGTAGCAGACGAAGAGGAAGGAGAGGAAGGAGAGGAAGAGAAAGAGAGGAGAAGAGAAGGCGCCTTACCTCCCTCCAGGCTTGAGAATTCGTTTGATTTCGCTGACGCACTGCCTGACGTCAGCGACCGAACATAGCACCAGGGAGCACACGACCACGTCAGCACATCCGTCGTCCAATGGGAGTGCTTCCCCCACGCCTTGAACGAATCTGAATCGGTTTCCCGCCAACCCTGCTGCCGCTGCCGACGCTTCTGCATATGGTTGCATCGACGGATTCGGATCTACACCCACAACCTCAAAACCTGGCGCGGATTGAGTCTGTAATGAGTTTTGAGTGTAGAAGCGGAAGTTCGGGCCCGCCCCTACACCGATCTCAACCAATCTAAAAACCGCATCGTTTCCAGATTCCATCGTCCCTGCTCCTCCAACTGCTTCACCACCCTCCCCTCCAGTTACTCTACCGATTTCCGATCGAAGAGGCTCGAATAAAGCCAGCTTATACCCCTCAACGCTCTCTTCATACTCCTTCATCCCAGTCGCCATCATCCACGCGAACAGTTCCTCCTGCCACCGCCATTTCCCGCCCCGCACCGCCGCCAGCGCCGCTTGCGCCGCCTCCGCCGTCTGCGCGGAAGCTGCCGCGGCGGAATCGGCTGCGCTTGCGGGGAGCGCGGAGGCGGAGAGGAGGAGAGAGGCGGAGATGAGCGCGCGCCGGGAGCAGATGGCGCAGGGGCAGGGGAGGGGCGCGGGGGGGAGTGGGGAGGGGGACGGGTGCGCGGCGGAAATGGGCGAGGAGGGGTCCGTTGATGCCGAATGGCTGGATGATGGTAACAAGTTTGCTTTTATCGAAGCAAAATGTAGACGAGAGTGACGGGTCCTGAAAGTGCTTTGGTGTTTGGGACGGCATGGGAGGTTTGGAACCTCGCCATGCCTAGTCGACAAGCTCGTTGGGAGGTTCGGCACGCCGCAGAAAGGGGAGGCGGCGGAGAGATGGGAGAGGCGCGGGGATAGAGCGCGCGGATTTGCGGAGACATGCGGAGAGCGTGGGGATAGAATCGGGGCGAAAACGAAGAGATGCTGCGGCGTTGCGCAACGGGCGGATGGACGGCAAAGCGCCATTCGCGGCGATTCTGGTCTGGAGCAATGCAGACTAAAATAGTGAAGTACCGACTAAAGATTTTTTCGCTCGGGGAGAGTGGAATGGGAATGCGGGATGTGGATTGCGCAATGCAGGGGTAACCCGAGCCGTTTTCGCTGATCGAGCTTTGGAGAAATCCTGTACGAAGTAACACCCGCAGTCTTCGTCACGGGCAAAATGTGTTTCGACAAATGTGGTTACGGCTTCAGAAATTTTCAACCCTCCCGTGTGCTTGCTGTGGGTGGTCATAATTGATGTACGCGTCATTGGCTAACAATCTCAAAGAAATTATCATTCTGTGAACATGCTAATGGTACAAGAAACACATTTCTGTACAAGCAAACTGAATCCAGCTCCTCCAATCTATAATCCCTCGCTCAAAACGGTCTTGCATTTCGGCCCAAGCCAAGCCTCAGCCCAGGCCTCCCTGACCTCCTCCTTCGGTCCGTGAGAGCGTCTAGAAGACACAGCAATGCATCGTCTATGGCGTCCGCTGCTTTTGATAACTGCTCCTTATCCATCTCCTCCCTTTCGCCAAGCTCGCGCAAAAGGCTCGATGCTGCTGCTGCAGTGCACGTCTTGTCTTCAGCTGGCTGAGGCCTGATATGCGATCCAAGGAGATGGGATGATGAGGTGAGCAAGAGAAGGTAATTTAAAATCTGAGAATTATCACTCAGCATTGCGCAGAAGGCTTGATGCGACTGCTACCGTGCAGGGCTCGTTTTCTACTGGTTGCGGCCTGATATGCATTAAAAAAAGGCGGAGTGATGCAGTGAGCAAGAGAATTTGCGTTCTAAACCAATAATCACGTAGTTGAATCACTCATATGGTATGTGTGGGAAAATTCAAAGCAAGGAGGCTGGCGTTGGCTACAAAAACAGGCAGCGGGGCAGAACAGGGAGTGTGTATGGTGTGATGTAAAAGAAGTTACACACCCTGTCAACAAAAAGAGGTGACTTTTGAGTCGACTCAAAAGTCACCTCGTATGGTGTGATGTAAAAGAAAGTTACACATGGGAGTTTTCATGTGATGCCGTTGTGGTCAACAAAAAGGCACACAGGCATCACATGGAAGGGGCATGCGGGCATCACATGGAAGCAAGCTGGCGTCACACGAGACCATGCATGGACTAATGGCTGTGGCGGTTCCAGAGACAGAACGGGTAGTGCGTGACATGGTGTCAGGTAAATGGAACAACACATTCTATCAACATAAAGGCATGAGGGCTCACCTGAGACCATGCATGACTGATGGCTGTGGTGGTTGCAGAGACAGAAACGGCAGGTCCCTCCCATCCCATGCTCGATGTGCTGCTTCCTGTGGCGCAACTAAAACGGGACATGCAATGATTGAAAAAAGTCAGTTTGGCGGTCATGCCCAAGGAGTAGCTCCACATGCCGTCAGTCAGTGCCCCTTTGAGCCGCGCCCCACTGCAACGAGGTGACTTTGAGTCTTGAGTCTACTCAAAAGCCATCTTGCTGCCCAGCCCAAGGAGTAGATCCACATTCAGTCACTACCCATTTAAGCCGCGCTCCAGCCTCCCAAAACAGCACATAAAAGTCAGATCGCCGGGTATTAAGGTCTTAGTCTTACTGTCTTGGGATTCAACTCACAAAAGCATTTTCAAACCCACCTTAAGTCTGGCGGTCATGGCCTTAGAGTTGCTCCACGTGCCGTCAATCAGAATGAAGTGCAGCGGAGAAGGCAATGACGCATCCCCATTGCCTACTACCTCCCCTGCTGCTGCTGCTGCTGCTGCTATTGCTGCTGGTACTGCTGCCTCTGCTGCTGGTGCCCCCGAATCAGCAGCAGCAGCAGTGGTGGTGTGGTGAGAAGACTCAATGTGTCTCTGCTTCTTACACGCAGGGAAGGATGAGGAGGAGAAGGAGAAGGGGAGGTGCATGGACGGCACGGTATCAGGGGGAGGAGAGGAGGCGCCTCAAAACTACAGGCTAGCATGAATGTGACCTTTTTAGTTTTGAGGCGCCTCAAAACTACAGGCTAGCATGAATGTGACCTTTTTAGTTTTGAGGCGCCTCAAAACTACAGGCTAGCATGAATGTGACCTTTTTAGTTTTGAGGCGCCTCAAAACTACAGGCTAGCATGAATGTGACCTTTTTAGTTTTGAGGCGCCTCAAAACTACAGGCTAGCATGAATGTGACCTTTTTAGTTTTGAGGCGCCTCAAAACTACAGGCTAGCATGAATGTGACCTTTTTAGTTTTGAGGCGCCTCAAAACTACAGGCTAGCATGAATGTGACCTTTTTAGTTTTGAGGCGCCTCAAAACTACAGGCTAGCATGAATGTGACCTTTTTAGTTTTGAGGCGCCTCAAAACTACAGGCTAGCATGAATGTGACCTTTTTAGTTTTGAGGCGCCTCAAAACTACAGGCTAGCATGAATGTGACCTTTTTAGTTTTGAGGCGCCTCAAAACTACAGGCTAGCATGAATGTGACCTTTTTAGTTTTGAGGCGCCTCAAAACTACAGGCTAGCATGAATGTGACCTTTTTAGTTTTGAGGCGCCTCAAAACTACAGGCTAGCATGAATGTGACCTTTTTAGTTTTGAGGCGCCTCAAAACTACAGGCTAGCATGAATGTGACCTTTTTTGGGGGGTGCCTAAACAATCCTCTTACTTCACATGCACGGTGATACCTGTGATACCTGAGTCAGTTTAAAAGTCAACGCACGCACATGCACGGTGATACCTGTGATACCTGAGTCAGTGTAAAAGTCACCTCATTGCACAACGCACGCACACACATGCGCTCCTCACGACCACTAGACACCCATACTGCGCACGCATGCATGCACGCACGTGTGGAAGCACACACGCACGCACGAGCTCGTGTGACGCACATGAGCATAGATGCCAAACAAACGCACGCACTCCTGTGCCTGCTCGCTTCAGCTATAAAACCCTGTCACAGACAATCTCATCTCACCTGCTCGCTTCAGCCTAGCTCACAGAAACTCCTCCTCATGAGCGTTGATGCCAAACACACACAGCCGAGCACTCTTGCCCCCCACCACTTGCCGCCCCAAGCACACACACAGCCGAACCGAGCTAGCATGCTGGCAACCACACTCCCTCACCCACACACAAACACACACAGCACCCATCACACCCACCTGCTCGCTTCAGCTCATCCCACATTCTCTCCTCGTGGGCGTTGATGCCAAACACACACAGCCGGGCACTCTCGCTCCCCAGCACCTGCCACAGCAGCTTGCCCGTGTTGTTGCGCCTCAGAAAGTCCTGAAGGGGTGAAGATGGGGGACGAACAAGGAAGTGAGGCCCAGTCGGAGTGACAAGGGTGGGGGACAAGGGTGGGGGACATAGCAGTCAGAGGGAATAGGGAGTGCTCTCCCCCCAGCACCTGCCACAGCAGCTTGCCCGTGTTGTTGCGCCGCAGAAAATCCTGCTAGCGCAAGGAGGAGAGGAAGGGGGAGCGGGAAGGGACACAGAAGTGAGAAGCACAGAGGGATTAGTGGCCCCAGCACCTGTCAAGAGAGGACAGATGGGCTGCAAAGGCCTTACTTCCATCAATCTCGTGTTGGATTAGTGGTCCCAGCACCTGCCACAGCAGCTTGCCCGTGTTGTTGCGCTGCAAGTTTTGTGAGCATGGGAGGAGGGGTGGATGGCGAGAACGGAGGAAGCAGTGCAGTGCGGTTGTATGGGATACAGGCAGCTTGACTTTGATGATAACGAATAAAGAAGACTCATCTCACCTTGGGCCGGGGTGTGCACGTAGAGACATGAGTCTAATAACGAGTACAGAGGGACTGACCTTTGGGTACAGCAGGACTCTACTCACCTTGGGGTGACTTTTGAGTCTCACCTTGGGGTGACTTTTGAGTCTCACCTTGGGGTGACTTTTGAGTCGACTCAAAAGCCACCTTGGGGTGCAAGTAGAGCCAGATGACGACGCTACCCAGCAACGATTTCAGAAGCCTCGAATCTCCTTATAACGAGTACTGGAGGACGCCTTACCTCGGGGTGCAAGTAGAGGCAGATGACAACGTTGCTCGACAGCAACTTAAGGGGATTCCAAGCCTGGAATCTGATTATAACGAGAGCAGCAGCACTCAATCACCTTGGGGTGCATGTAGAGGCAGATGACCATGTTGTTCAGTAGAGTCCCAAAGAGCCTTAATCTGACTATAACGAGTACAGGAGGGGGACCTCTAATTATCTTTGGGAGCGCATGTTTAGCCAGATGGTAATGCTGCTCTAAATTGATTATAACGAGTACAAGGGGGCTCAGCTTACCCTAGAGTGCATGTATAGCCAGATGACCACGTTGCTCAGCATCAATACTCAAGGCTTCAAATCTGACTATAACGAGTACAGAAAGTCGGGGAACTCTACTCACCTTGGGGTGCATGTAGAGCCAGATGACTATGCTGCTCAGCAGGGCTGGGTTGGGCGACACCTCATCACACGTGCAGTCCGCTCGTGGTAACCAGCACTGCCGGCACGGAGGGTGGATCGGGAGGGAAGGGGGCAGGGAAGAGGTTGAGGGTGAGAGTCTGGGTTGGGAGGTGAAAGAGGTTTGGTTGGGGGCGACTGAGTGGGACACCATGTGAAAGAAGGTGGTTTTGAGACGTCTCATACCCACCCTTGAACAGAGCTGTGCTTTCGGTTCCTACTCTAATTTTTTACAGGGTTACTATTTTTCAACAAGTGACTATCGTTCTTTGCTAAAGCGATCCTTCACGCTGCAGCTCTTCTTCATGACCAGTGACCCGTGGGACACCATGTGAAAGAAGGGTGGTTTGAGACGTCTCATACCCACCATGTGAAAGAAGGGTGGTTTGAGACGTCTCATACCCACCATGTGAAAGAAGGGTGGTTTGAGACGTCTCATACCCACCATGTGAAAGAAGGGTGGTTTGAGACGTCTCATACCCACCATGTGAAAGAAGGGTGGTTTGAGACGTCTCATACCCACCATGTGAAAGAAGGGTGGTTTGAGACGTCTCATACCCACCATGTGAAAGAAGGGTGGTTTGAGACGTCTCATACCCACCATGTGAAAGAAGGGTGGTTTGAGACGTCTCATACCCACCATGTGAAAGAAGGGTGGTTTGAGACGTCTCATACCCACCATGTGAAAGAAGGGTGGTTTGAGACGTCTCATACCCACCATGTGAAAGAAGGGTGGTTTGAGACGTCTCATACCCACCATGTGAAAGAAGGGTGGTTTGAGACGTCTCATACCCACCATGTGAAAGAAGGGTGGTTTGAGACGTCTCATACCCACCATGTGAAAGAAGGGTGGTTTGAGACGTCTCATACCCACCATGTGAAAGAAGGGTGGTTTGAGACGTCTCATACCCACCATGTGAAAGAAGGGTGGTTTGAGACGTCTCATACCCACCATGTGAAAGAAGGGTGGTTTGAGACGTCTCATACCCACCATGTGAAAGAAGGGTGGTTTGAGACGTCTCATACCCACCATGTGAAAGAAGGGTGGTTTGAGACGTCTCATACCCACCATGTGAAAGAAGGGTGGTTTGAGACGTCTCATACCCACCATGTGAAAGAAGGGTGGTTTGAGACGTCTCATACCCACCATGTGAAAGAAGGGTGGTTTGAGACGTCTCATACCCACCATGTGAAAGAAGGGTGGTTTGAGACGTCTCATACCCACCATGTGAAAGAAGGGTGGTTTGAGACGTCTCATACCCACCATGTGAAAGAAGGGTGGTTTGAGACGTCTCATACCCACCATGTGAAAGAAGGGTGGTTTGAGACGTCTCATACCCACCATGTGAAAGAAGGGTGGTTTGAGACGTCTCATACCCACCATGTGAAAGAAGGGTGGTTTGAGACGTCTCATACCCACCATGTGAAAGAAGGGTGGTTTGAGACGTCTCATACCCACCATGTGAAAGAAGGGTGGTTTGAGACGTCTCATACCCACCATGTGAAAGAAGGGTGGTTTGAGACGTCTCATACCCACCATGTGAAAGAAGGGTGGTTTGAGACGTCTCATACCCACCATGTGAAAGAAGGGTGGTTTGAGACGTCTCATACCCACCATGTGAAAGAAGGGTGGTTTGAGACGTCTCATACCCACCATGTGAAAGAAGGGTGGTTTGAGACGTCTCATACCCACCATGTGAAAGAAGGCTGGTTTGAGACGTCTCATACCCACCATGTGAAAGAAGGGTGGTTTGAGACGTCTCATACCCACCATGTGAAAGAAGGGTGGTTTGAGACGTCTCATACCCACCATGTGAAAGAAGGGTGGTTTGAGACGTCTCATACCCACCATGTGAAAGAAGGGTGGTTTGAGACGTCTCATACCCACCATGTGAAAGAAGGCTGGTTTGAGACGTCTCATACCCACCATGTGAAAGAAGGGTGGTTTGAGACGTCTCATACCCACCATGTGAAAGAAGGGTGGTTTGAGACGTCTCATACCCACCATGTGAAAGAAGGGTGGTTTGAGACGTCTCATACCCACCATGTGAAAGAAGGGTGGTTTGAGACGTCTCATACCCACCATGTGAAAGAAGGGTGGTTTGAGACGTCTCATACCCACCATGTGAAAGAAGGGTGGTTTGAGACGTCTCATACCCACCATGTGAAAGAAGGGTGGTTTGAGACGTCTCATACCCACCATGTGAAAGAAGGGTGGTTTGAGACGTCTCATACCCACCATGTGAAAGAAGGGTGGTTTGAGACGTCTCATACCCACCATGTGAAAGAAGGGTGGTTTGAGACGTCTCATACCCACCATGTGAAAGAAGGGTGGTTTGAGACGTCTCATACCCACCATGTGAAAGAAGGGTGGTTTGAGACGTCTCATACCCACCATGTGAAAGAAGGGTGGTTTGAGACGTCTCATACCCACCATGTGAAAGAAGGGTGGTTTGAGACGTCTCATACCCACCATGTGAAAGAAGGGTGGTTTGAGACGTCTCATACCCACCATGTGAAAGAAGGGCGGTTTGAGACGTCTAATACCCACCATGTGAAAGAAGGGTGGTTTGAGACGTCTCATACCCACCATGTGAAAGAAGGGTGGTTTGAGACGTCTCATACCCACCATGTGAAAGAAGGGTGGTTTGAGACGTCTCATACCCACCATGTGAAAGAAGGGTGGTTTGAGACGTCTCATACCCACCATGTGAAAGAAGGGTGGTTTGAGACGTCTCATACCCACCATGTGAAAGAAGGGTGGTTTGAGACGTCTCATACCCACCATGTGAAAGAAGGGTGGTTTGAGACGTCTCATACCCACCATGTGAAAAAAGGGTGGTTTTGAGACGTCTCATACCCACCATGTGAAAGAAGGGTGGTTTGAGACGTCTCATACCCACCATGTGAAAGAAGGGTGGTTTGAGACGTCTCATACCCACCATGTGAAAGAAGGGTGGTTTGAGACGTCTCATACCCACCATGTGAAAGAAGGGTGGTTTGAGACGTCTCATACCCACCATGTGAAAGAAGGGTGGTTTGAGACGTCTCATACCCACCATGTGAAAGAAGGGTGGTTTGAGACGTCTCATACCCACCATGTGAAAGAAGGGTGGTTTGAGACGTCTCATACCCACCATATGAAAGAATGGTGGTTTGAGACGTCTCATACCCACCATGTGAAAGAAGGGTGGTTTGAGACGTCTCATACCCACCATGTGAAAGAAGGGTGGTTTGAGACGTCTCATACCCACCATGTGAAAGAAGGGTGGTTTGAGACGTCTCATACCCACCATGTGAAAGAAGGGTGGTTTGAGACGTCTCATACCCACCATGTGAAAGAAGGGTGGTTTGAGACGTCTCATACCCACCATGTGAAAGAAGGGTGGTTTGAGACGTCTCATACCCACCATGTGAAAGAAGGGTGGTTTGAGACGTCTCATACCCACCATGTGAAAGAAGGGTGGTTTGAGACGTCTCATACCCACCATGTGAAAGAAGGGTGGTTTGAGACGTCTCATACCCACCATGTGAAAGAAGGGTGGTTTGAGACGTCTCATACCCACCATGTGAAAGAAGGGTGGTTTGAGACGTCTCATACCCACCATGTGAAAGAAGGGTGGTTTGAGACGTCTCATACCCACCATGTGAAAGAAGGGTGGTTTGAGACGTCTCATACCCACCATGTGAAAGAAGGGTGGTTTGAGACGTCTCATACCCACCATGTGAAAGAAGGGCGGTTTGAGACGTCTAATACCCACCATGTGAAAGAAGGGTGGTTTGAGACGTCTCATACCCACCATGTGAAAGAAGGGTGGTTTGAGACGTCTCATACCCACCATGTGAAAGAAGGGTGGTTTGAGACGTCTCATACCCACCATGTGAAAGAAGGGTGGTTTGAGACGTCTCATACCCACCATGTGAAAGAAGGGTGGTTTGAGACGTCTCATACCCACCATGTGAAAGAAGGGTGGTTTGAGACGTCTCATACCCACCATGTGAAAGAAGGGTGGTTTGAGACGTCTCATACCCACCATGTGAAAAAAGGGTGGTTTTGAGACGTCTCATACCCACCATGTGAAAGAAGGGTGGTTTGAGACGTCTCATACCCACCATGTGAAAGAAGGGTGGTTTGAGACGTCTCATACCCACCATGTGAAAGAAGGGTGGTTTGAGACGTCTCATACCCACCATGTGAAAGAAGGGTGGTTTGAGACGTCTCATACCCACCATGTGAAAGAAGGGTGGTTTGAGACGTCTCATACCCACCATGTGAAAGAAGGGTGGTTTGAGACGTCTCATACCCACCATGTGAAAGAAGGGTGGTTTGAGACGTCTCATACCCACCATATGAAAGAATGGTGGTTTGAGACGTCTCATACCCACCATGTGAAAGAAGGGTGGTTTGAGACGTCTCATACCCACCATGTGAAAGAAGGGTGGTTTGAGACGTCTCATACCCACCATGTGAAAGAAGGGTGGTTTGAGACGTCTCATACCCACCATGTGAAAGAAGGGTGGTTTGAGACGTCTCATACCCACCATGTGAAAGAAGGGTGGTTTGAGACGTCTCATACCCACCATGTGAAAGAAGGGTGGTTTGAGACGTCTCATACCCACCATGTGAAAGAAGGGTGGTTTGAGACGTCTCATACCCACCATGTGAAAGAAGGGTGGTTTGAGACGTCTCATACCCACCATGTGAAAGAAGGGTGGTTTGAGACGTCTCATACCCACCATGTGAAAGAAGGGTGGTTTGAGACGTCTCATACCCACCATGTGAAAGAAGGGTGGTTTGAGACGTCTCATACCCACCATGTGAAAGAAGGGTGGTTTGAGACGTCTCATACCCACCATGTGAAAGAAGGGTGGTTTGAGACGTCTCATACCCACCATGTGAAAGAAGGGTGGTTTGAGACGTCTCATACCCACCATGTGAAAGAAGGGTGGTTTGAGACGTCTCATACCCACCATGTGAAAGAAGGGTGGTTTGAGACGTCTCATACCCACCATGTGAAAGAAGGGTGGTTTGAGACGTCTCATACCCACCATGTGAAAGAAGGGTGGTTTGAGACGTCTCATACCCACCATGTGAAAGAAGGGTGGTTTGAGACGTCTCATACCCACCATGTGAAAGAAGGGTGGTTTGAGACGTCTCATACCCACCATGTGAAAGAAGGGTGGTTTGAGACGTCTCATACCCACCATGTGAAAGAAGGGTGGTTTGAGACGTCTCATACCCACCATGTGAAAGAAGGGTGGTTTGAGACGTCTCATACCCACCATGTGAAAGAAGGGTGGTTTGAGACGTCTCATACCCACCATGTGAAAGAAGGGTGGTTTGAGACGTCTCATACCCACCATGTGAAAGAAGGGTGGTTTGAGACGTCTCATACCCACCATGTGAAAGAAGGGTGGTTTGAGACGTCTCATACCCACCATGTGAAAGAAGGGTGGTTTGAGACGTCTCATACCCACCATGTGAAAGAAGGCTGGTTTGAGACGTCTCATACCCACCATGTGAAAGAAGGGTGGTTTGAGACGTCTCATACCCACCATGTGAAAGAAGGGTGGTTTGAGACGTCTCATACCCACCATGTGAAAGAAGGGTGGTTTGAGACGTCTCATACCCACCATGTGAAAGAAGGGTGGTTTGAGACGTCTCATACCCACCATGTGAAAGAAGGCTGGTTTGAGACGTCTCATACCCACCATGTGAAAGAAGGGTGGTTTGAGACGTCTCATACCCACCATGTGAAAGAAGGGTGGTTTGAGACGTCTCATACCCACCATGTGAAAGAAGGGTGGTTTGAGACGTCTCATACCCACCATGTGAAAGAAGGGTGGTTTGAGACGTCTCATACCCACCATGTGAAAGAAGGGTGGTTTGAGACGTCTCATACCCACCATGTGAAAGAAGGGTGGTTTGAGACGTCTCATACCCACCATGTGAAAGAAGGGTGGTTTGAGACGTCTCATACCCACCATGTGAAAGAAGGGTGGTTTGAGACGTCTCATACCCACCATGTGAAAGAAGGGTGGTTTGAGACGTCTCATACCCACCATGTGAAAGAAGGGTGGTTTGAGACGTCTCATACCCACCATGTGAAAGAAGGGTGGTTTGAGACGTCTCATACCCACCATGTGAAAGAAGGGTGGTTTGAGACGTCTCATACCCACCATGTGAAAGAAGGGTGGTTTGAGACGTCTCATACCCACCATGTGAAAGAAGGGTGGTTTGAGACGTCTCATACCCACCATGTGAAAGAAGGGTGGTTTGAGACGTCTCATACCCACCATGTGAAAGAAGGGTGGTTTGAGACGTCTCATACCCACCATGTGAAAGAAGGGTGGTTTGAGACGTCTCATACCCACCATGTGAAAGAAGGGTGGTTTGAGACGTCTCATACCCACCATGTGAAAGAAGGCTGGTTTGAGACGTCTCATACCCACCATGTGAAAGAAGGGTGGTTTGAGACGTCTCATACCCACCATGTGAAAGAAGGGTGGTTTGAGACGTCTCATACCCACCATGTGAAAGAAGGGTGGTTTGAGACGTCTCATACCCACCATGTGAAAGAAGGGTGGTTTGAGACGTCTCATACCCACCATGTGAAAGAAGGCTGGTTTGAGACGTCTCATACCCACCATGTGAAAGAAGGGTGGTTTGAGACGTCTCATACCCACCATGTGAAAGAAGGGTGGTTTGAGACGTCTCATACCCACCATGTGAAAGAAGGGTGGTTTGAGACGTCTCATACCCACCATGTGAAAGAAGGGTGGTTTGAGACGTCTCATACCCACCATGTGAAAGAAGGGTGGTTTGAGACGTCTCATACCCACCATGTGAAAGAAGGGTGGTTTGAGACGTCTCATACCCACCATGTGAAAGAAGGGTGGTTTGAGACGTCTCATACCCACCATGTGAAAGAAGGGTGGTTTGAGACGTCTCATACCCACCATGTGAAAGAAGGGTGGTTTGAGACGTCTCATACCCACCATGTGAAAGAAGGGTGGTTTGAGACGTCTCATACCCACCCTTCTTTCACAGGGAGGAAGGGGGAAGAGGTTCAGGTTGAGGGTGAGAGTCTGGGTTGGGGATGTCTTAGTGGGACACCTTGCATGACCGTAATTAACCCACACCACACCACACCACACCACACCGCACCACACCACATCACACCACACCACACCACACCACACCACACCACACCACACCACACCACGCCACACCACACCACACCACCACGCCACAGCACAGCACAGCACAGCACAGCACAGCACAGCACACCCGCGCACCTCTCTGCACGCCCCTCTGTAAGCAGTTATCAGCTTCACCGCCATCTGCCGAGCAGCAAAAGCGCGCAAACAGCCCTCCCCGTCCGTCCTCTTCCTCTCTCGACTCAAGTAGCCCACACGAAACCATGCCTCTATGGCCTCCGCTCCTGGGCTCTGAAAGAGATGGGGAGGACGGAGATGGAGAGGGGGATGGGTTGATGAGAGGCGCGAAGTCCTCTACCGGGGTACGCCACGCGGAACCACGCCTCTATGGCCTCTGCTCCGGGGCTCTGATGGGGATGGGGAGGGCGATGAGAGGTGAGAGCCGCCCGCTTCCTCTCTCCACTCAGGTAGGCCACGCGGAACCACGCTTTTGCTGCTTCTGTTCCTGGGCTCTGATGGGGGGAGCGGGGAGGGTGGAGAGCACGTGGAGTGAAGAATGGGGGAAATGGGGGGAATGCGTGGTGAGAGATTGAAAAACACCCTCTTCCTCTCACGGCACAGGTACGCCATGCAAAATCACGCCTCTATTGCCTCTGCTCGTGGGCTCTGACGGGGGGAGGGGTGGGAGGAAATGGGGAAGTTGAGAATCGAGAGATGGGGGGGCACTAAAATATTCTAAAATAAATCTAAAAATAAGAATAAAACATGAAATAAAGGGGGTACCTGTTTCACGCCACTCCAGTTGAAATAAAACCTCTATTTCCGCACAAACTCTCAAACACTCTCAATCGCTCTCAGACGAACCAGCTACTAGAAACTGTCGTCGAACGCTTGCCAGGCGATCAATTGTTGGATTAGGAAGTTTGAGAAATTTCAACGCGCGTGTCCCACAGAAACCGGGTAGTACTTGCCTCCCGAACAGGGAGGTGCTGGCTCGGCTGAAGCGGCCTAAGAGGTAGTGAGGTATTGGGGCCCTGCGACACCATCTTACTGTAGGAAAAGCTGTGGCATTGTTGGTACAAAGCCAACCTTCGTAGGCCTCGTGGCCCGCCAACTTTTGGGCTAGGCGGTGTATGATCATGACCCGACAACTGAAAACCGGTCTGCAGCGAACCACGGCTAGTGGGAAGTACATACACTATATGGTACAGACGGTACTTAGTGATCTGTACTTCCCACTAACCGTGGTTCGCTGCGGATCGGTTTCCAGTTATCAAGTTGTGACCATATCCCGCTTAGCCCAAAGGTCGGCGGGCCACGAGGCCGGCAAAGGTTTGCTTGGTATTGATAATGCCACAGCTTTTCTTACAGTAAGATGGTGTCGCGGCCCCAATGCCCCACTACTCCTTAGGCCGCTTCAGCCAAGCCGTCACCTCCTTGTTCAAGAGGCGGATACTACCCGGTTTCTGTGGAACACGCGCGTTGAAATCTCTCAAGCTTCTTAATCTAACAATTGATCGTTTGGCAAGTGTTTGAAAGCAATTTGTAGGTAGCTGGTTCGCTTGAGAGCAAATGAGAGTGTTTGAGAGTTTGTGTGTAAAGATAGTTTTTATTTCAACTGGAGTGGCGTGAACTAGCTACTAGGGTGGAAAACAAACAAACAAACTTTAAAAGTAAGAAAAAAAACTGTGGTGTAGGGGAGAGTGTGGGAAAATGAAGAAATGCCACGAAGAAGGAAGAGAAAGGTCAAAGAGGAGAAAAAGGCGGGAGTGCAGATGGGGGCGGGATGAGGAGATAATTTTTTGAACTAAATTCGGAGAAGACCATGTTTTAACCGTACACTACCGTACTGCTTTGCTTTCAATCGCACATTACCGTACCTCGTCCAGGTACCCATCATCCTCGTCCTCCTCATCCTCCGGATCGTCCCCTTCCACCTCTTCCGTAACCCCCTTCCCTCCTCTCTCTTCCAGCTCGCCTCCCCTCCTCTCCCTCCCACTCTCCCTTTCACTCCCCTCCTCCTCCTCCTCCTCTCGCCCTACTTCCCCCTTCAGCTTTACATCTCCTCTCCCTTCCACTCGCTCCTCCTCTTCCTCCCTCACTCCATCCCTCACACCCTCCCTCACTCCCTCCCCCTCTCTCATTTTCTCCTCTATTGCCACCACCTCGTGCATGATCCGCACCACCAGGGGGTCAAGCTCTCCCCCCATCCACGGCAGCTCGGCGCGCAGCACCCGCTCCAAATGCCGCCTGCGCGCGCTTACTGGGGGAGACGCGCCTGTCGAGGGAGTTTCGCCCATTTCGGGAGTTCCGCCAGCGCTTATCCCCCCCACTGGCTCTCTCACCCGCGTTGAATCTCTCATTCCATTCGGTACATCTGGACCTTCCATTTCTCTTAAACCCTCTCTCCCCCCTGAATCTACAGCCGTTGATTCTCCCAACCCTTCAGCCCCTCTTAAACCCCGACCCGGCCTTGATGCCTCGTCCGAAGCGGTTCCAGCCTGCTGAGTCAGCATCGGCTGCGCTGAGCTGGCAAACGCCACCTTTCTGCTGCCAATTGAGCCGGATGACGTGGACCCGGTGACGTGGCAAGTTGCGGACGTGCGGCGTTGATAGGTAGAGAGCCCACAGCTATTAGAGTGTAGGGGCTTTATGCGTCGCGTGGACGAATCTATAACGAAGCACTCTCTTGTCGGGAATATTCTCGAGACAGTGTTGGCCTTGGGGTTGACACGGCTTATAACGCGGGTGGACGAGAATGGAGGGCGGAGATTGCTCGAAGCAGTCTCGATCATCGGCAGAACTCGACGCTGCGAGGCGCCCGCGTAGCTTGTACCTGTACGCGATAAGAGCCGCGCGCACAAGCGCATAATGCGCGATCGACTGGAGGCGTAGTTACAGCAGGAGGTGAGGGAATCGCAATGAGCAGTCTAGGTGGGTAGCTTCGACGCGACAAGTTGGGTGCGGCAACTAGAGATGTGTGCGGGCGCGTTTCGAGGGAAATTCAAATGGTTGAGGGGACTACCACTAGTAACCGCGACAGGACGTCCTGCTAAGATGAAGGTACCATACAGAATACATGAGTTGTTCGGAACATAATAGCAGATGCATTGAGATATAATGATGTGAGGTAGATTGATTAATCACAACAAGATACAGTGTCGATAATCATATCCCGCTCCATATTCTTCCTATTCTACGCGTCGGAACAAAAGCCTCGGGATCACATTCCTCGGGAACATACACAGCCGCCAGACGATGCGAAAAAAACGCCGCAGTGTGCGAAAATCCCGACTTGGTCAAAATGAGTGCATCACTCGACGCGAGAAGCAACCATTCTGTTACAATGTCAATGTATGTGGAAGCCCCCTCTTCCGGAGTGAAATGAGCAGGCGAAATATCTTGCGATGAAGGAGGGTGTGTGTCAGTGCGTGTGGGGTCTTGGGGCGATGTCAACGTGTTGACGTGGCGAGGGACTATGTCTGATACCACCACCTGTGCCACAAACGAGGATGGCAATAGCGGGGAAGATGCGTAGCAGTGAGATGAGTGAGAGGTCAAGCAGGGTGAAGGGTGGGAGTGGGGAGTGAGAGTGGGGAGTGAGCAGGGAGGGAGGGTGTGGAGTGAGTGTGTGGGAAGTGAGGGCATAGAGTGAGAAAGTGGAGTGAGTGTGGAATGCGAGTGTGAAAGAAGCGGAGAGGCCAGAGGAGTGCATGCCTTGTGCGGGTATTTGAGCCAGAGGATGTGTCACGAGGGCATATCAGAAGCCAGGTCACACACTTGAGAAACACAAGCCAGCGAATGGTGCAGGGAGGAGGGAGAAGGACAGGGAGAAGGTGAGGGTGAAGGTGAGGGTGAAGGTGAGGGTGAAGGTGAGGGTGAAGGTGAGGGTGAAGGTGAGGGTGAAGATGAAGGTGAGGGTGAAGGAGAGGGTGAAGGAGAGGGTGAAGGTGAGGGAGGAGAGGAGGGAGAGGGAGAAGTATAGAGGAGAGATAGAGTTTGTACCCTGTGAGGGTATTTGAGCCAGAGAGCCGACTTGAGCGGCAGAGAGTTGGTGACAACAAGCCAGCGCACCTCGTAGGGCGGCGAGGGCACCCACCACTCCTCCAGCGCCTGTGCGGATGGGTGAGAGGAGAGGGGAGTGAGAGGGGAGTGAGAGGGGAGTGAGAGGGGAGTGAGGGGAGTGAGAGGGGGGAACAAGGAAAGGAAAGAACGAGATGCACGTGAACATCAGAAGGCTGCCTTGAGATTGCCGAAACCCACCTCACCCTCCACCACCATCTCCCCCGCCCTTATGTGCACCCCCCCCACCACCACCAACCACCACCCCCACCACCCCACCCCCCGCACCCCCCCCCCCCCCCACCCCACCACCACCACCCCCACCCCCACCACCCCCCCCCCCACCCACCACCACCCCCACCACCCCCACCACCACCACCCCCACCACACACCACCACCCCCACCACCCCACCACCACCAACCCCCCCCACACCCCACCACCACCCCACCACCACCACCCCCACCCCCCACCCACCCCCACCACCACCACCACCCAACCCACCACCCCACACCCACCCAACCACCACCACCACCCCACACCACCAACCCCACCCACCACACCCCACCACCCCCACCACCAACACACCACCCCCCCACCACCCCACCACCACCACCACCCCCACCACCACCCCACCACCCCCACCACCCCCACCCACCACCCCCCACCACCCCCACCACCCCCACCCCCACCACCCCCACCACCACCCACCACCACCACCCCCACCCCCACCACCCCCACCACCCCCCCCCACACCCCCACCACCCCCACCACCACCACCCACCACCACCACCACCACACCACCCCAACCACCACCCACCACCCCCACCACCCCACCCCCACCACCCCCACCACCCCCACCACCACCACCCCCACCCACCCACCACCACCACCCCACCACCCCCACCACCACCACCCCCCCCACCACCACCACCCCACACCAACCCCACCACCACCACCCCCACCACCACCACCCCCACCAACCCCACCCCACCACCCCCCACCCCCACCACCCACACCCACCACCCCCACCACCCCCCACCCCCACCACCCCCACCACCCCCACCACCCCCACCACCCTCACCACCAACCCTATCACCACCCCCACCCCCACCACAACCCCCACCATCAGCACTATCACCACCCCTACCTGTACCACCAATCCCACCACCACCAACCCCACCACCACCAACCCCACCACCACCATCCCCACCACCACCATCCCCACCTTAGCCCACGCCCACCCACCTTGGCAGATGCTCACCTTGGCAGATGCTCACCTTGGCACAGAATATGTACTGGTCAGCCCACGACAGCAGCACATCCATCTGAGTGGCATTGAGGGCCTTAACCAGCACTCGCCCTCCCACACCACCGTGTCCGCCGCTCCTATGTGCACCCCCACCAGCACCACCTTAGTCCACACGCACCTTGGCACATGAGATGTACTGGTCAGCCCATGACAGCAGAACATCCATCTGAGTCGCATTCAGTGCCTTGGGATCGCCAAACCCCCACTCGCCCTCCCACACCACCGTGTCCCCCGCTCTTATGTGCACCCCCACCACCACCACCCCTCGGTTTGAAGGGAGGGGGAGGAGGAGCAACCCACCTTGGCACATGATATGTACTGGTCAGCCCACGACAGCAGCACATCCATCTGAGTGGCGTTGAGAGCCTTGGGATCTCCAAACCCCCACTCGCCCTCCCACACCACCGTGTCCCCCGCTCTTATGTGCACCCCCACCACCACCACCCCTCGGTTTGAAGGGAGGGGGAGGAGGAGCAACCCACCTTGGCACATGATATGTACTGGTCAGCCCACGACAGCAGCACATCCATCTGAGTGGCGTTGAGAGCCTTGGGATCTCCAAACCCCCACTCGCCCTCCCACACCACCGTGTCCCCCGCTCTTATGTGCACCCCCACCACCACCACCCCTCGGTTCGAAGGGCCAAAGGAGGGGAGCGGGTGCGATGGGCGGAAGGGGGAGTGCGTGTGGGGAGGGGAGGAGGGGGAAGGCGAGAGGAGGTGGTGGTAGATGGCTTGCACTCGAGACATGACCTCTGGCTGCGGCCTGGGATGGAAGGGAGAAGCAAGGAGACGGCAGAAGAAGGGATAGAAGCGATGCACTCATTGAGGCGCCTATAAACATGCAAGGAGGGGAGAGGAGGTGGTGGTAGATGGCCTGGACTGGACTCGAGACATGACCTCTGGGTGGGGCCTGAGATGGGAGGGGAATGGGGGGGAAGAACGAGCAGCAGGAAAGAATAGATCAATGACACTTGTGCAATCACCTTTGGTTGGGACCTGTAGTATTGCAGAGAAAGAGAGGCACAGGGGAGAGAGGCACAGGGGAGGGGCAGAGTAGATAAGAGGAGGTGTGAACTGGGAAAGTATGGTGGAAGGGAAGACACAAATGAAGGGGAAAGGGGGAGTGGGAGGAGAAAGGGAAAGGGCGAGGAGGTCTGGCCAAAAGCGCTATACCCTGGAAAGACACTTCTACACTAACCATATATGCGTGAGATGAACCATGTGTGGAACCTTGCAAGGCTCATGTACCTTGCAAGGCTCATGTACCTTGCAAGGCTCATGTACCTTGCAAGGCTCATGTACCTTGCAAGGCTCGTGTACCTTGCAAGGCTCATGTACCTTGCAAGGCTCATGTACCTTGCGAGGCTCATGTACCTTGCAAGGCTCATGTACCATGCAAGGCTCATGTACCTTGCAAACTCACTTGAGCAGGCATCGCCTTTTTGAGACGCCTCAAAAGTCGCGTGAAATGAAGCAATGACCTGCCCCACTCACTTGAGCAGGAAGCGCAGGATACAGCCAAAGGCAAAGGGAGGCCGCATGCCCATGTCCTTTAGACTGTCCGCCCACGTCTTCTCCACTGCCTGCAGAAGGAGAGGTAGGGGCAGCAGAGGCAAAAGGGGTGAAGAGAACAGTTAGGAAAATCAAAAGGAGACCATGTCCTTTAGACTGTCCGCCCACTTCTTCTCAAATGCCTGCAGCAGCAGCAGAGGCAGCAGAGGCAGGGGCAGCAGAGGCAGGGGAAGCAGAGGCAGGGGCAGCAGAGGCAGGGGCAGCAGTGGCAGGGGCAGCAGAGGCAGGGGCAGCAGAGGCAGGGGCAGCAGAGGCAGGGAGGAGAAAGGGGTGAAGAGAACAGTTAGGAAGATGAAAAGGAGGCCGCATGTTCATGTCCTTTAGATTGTCCGCCCACTTCTTTTTTCACTGCCTGCAGCAGCAGAGGCAGCACAGGCAGGGAGGAAAAAGGGGCGAAGAGAACAGTTCGGAAGATCACGCAAAGAAAGGCTGCAGGCCTATGACTCTTAGACTGCCAGCGCACTTCTTTTTCACTGCCTGCAGCAGTGATGGCAGGACGGAAGGGACAGGGAAGATGGGGTAGGGGACTTGGGGATAAGCTGGGGAGCAGCAACGTGCACTAGAATAGAAATGCAGAGTAATCTATGCAATTTATGAGAGAGAAAAAAACAGAGAGAAAAAAAATATGCAGGAGAGGAGGAGATGAGATGAGAGGAAGCGGGGAGAAGAGGAAGAAACCAGTGACACTGACCTGCACGAGGAGGTATGAGAGCAGGCCTCTGTTCCACCTCACCCGACTTTTGAGGCGCCTCAAAAGTGTTCCACCTCACCCGCACATTCATCGCCTTATCCATGCTCTTGCACCTCCCCTCCCCACACTCTTGCACTGGCAACTACCAGCAACGAGAGGAAGAAACAAGAGGAAGGAACACGAGTGCCACTAACCTGCACGAGTGCCACTAACCTGCACGAGGAGGTAAGTCAGCAGGCCTCTGTTCCACGTCACCCGCACATTGAGTGCCTTATCCATGATCCCAAACACCTCCTCCGGCTCCACAAAGCGGTTTCTGAAATCCACCACCACCACCTCCCCCTCCTGCACCTCCACCTCTCCTCCTCCCCTCCTCTCCCCCCCCACACTCCCTCCCTCTCCCCCTCCCTCTCCTGCTCCATCTCCCCCTACCTCTCCTCTCCCGCCCAGCTTCCCATCTTCCAAAGCTAGCTTCCGAGCCGGCTCCACAGGTACATCCGGGGTCCACGACCAGTCCACCAGGTTCGGCGCAAAGGCCAGCGGGAGGTACGGGTGCCGGACCAGGAAGGCTCGGTGGGAGAGCAGCGCGCAGGCAAAGGCTGTGGCGAGGCCTGTGAGGAAATCCCCTAGCCCTCCTGCTTCGTCTGGCCACTCGTATGTGAGGAAACGGATTGATGGGTCGAGAGGTGGGTTGGGGTATGGGACTGGGGAGGAGGGGAAGGAGGAGGGGGAGGGGGTGGTGAGAGGTGTGGAGTGGTTGGAGAGGGCGCTTCTGCTGCTCCTGCTGCTGCTGCTGTTGCTACAGGTGCTGCTGCTGGTGGTGCTGATTGCTGCACTGCTTCACGTGCTGCTTCAGCAGCGGCAGTGGCAGCAGCATGTGCAGCAGCAGCGGTTTGTGCGAGTGCAGGGGCATTAGCCCTAGCAGCCTGGCGAATGCGGGCGTGCAGGGCGGAGTAGGCGGGAGCCCAGGCGCCACAGAGGGAGTCGGAGAAGGAAACATCCAGGAAGGGGGCGAGCAGGGAGGAGGACGCGAGGGAAGGCCAGGAAGACTGGGGGTTGAAGGGGGGGGAAAGGGGGGGAGTGGGGACGGGAAGTGGCAGGGGAATAGGGTTGGGTTGAGAAGACGGGAAAGAGGGGAGGCTTGATTGGGTGTCCTGAAAGCGGAGTAGGAGGGGGCCCAGGCAACACAGAGGGAGTCGGTGAAAGAGACATCGAGGAAGGGAGCGATTGCGAGGAGGATACGAGAGGAGGCCAAGGGAGCTGGGGGAAGGGAGGAGCGGGAGAGTGGGGTATGGTTGAGCAGAACGGAGGGGAAAGAGTACGAGAGACGTCAAGGAAGGGGGCGAGCGGGGAGGGGAAAGACGGAGGAGGAAGATGGAGGGGAAAGAGAAGGTATTCTAGTTCCAGGGGGGGGGGGGGGGGGAAGCATATATATGGAGGAGCAAATATCGACGAAAGGGGAGAGCGGGGAAGGGAGAGAGGGGAAGGGAGGGGAGAGGGGGGAAGTGTAGAGGAAGCCGTGTTGTATGCTTACCCCACATGCAGCTATCAATGGGATCCACTTGGGACGTTCTGTGCATACTGGAAAAAGGAGGAGAGAAGGGAAGGGAGAAAATGCCGTGGTATATGCTATCTCGGGGGTTCGTTCGTGCATGCAGCACTCAATGGGACTCACTGCTAGGAAGAGGAGCAAGATGCTACAGGTGAGCAGTCCCCTGCGACCTTGGAGTTGTCCCCTACGACCTTGGAGTTGTCGCCTGCGACCTTGGAGTTGTCGCCTGCGACCTTGGAGTTGTCGCCTGCGACCTTGGAGTTGTCGCCTGCGACCTTGGAGTTGTCGCCTGCGACCTTGAAGTTGTCGCCTGCGACCTTGAAGATGTCGCCTGCGACCTTGGAGCTGTCCCAATGGCCTGGTACGCTGTCTCCCGCTCATGCGCTGTCTCTCACGCGTGAGCCACGTACACCCTTTTCTCCTTGTAATCCAAACATCTATTGTACCGATAATTTCTTCCTCGCAATTCTGTAACCCGGTGATGGCTGGATCCGCATTGCCCATCTCTCGCTTCCTCTGTTCCTCGCCTGATGTCTTCCCCATCTCTGCTGCTTCCTCTCACACGCCACGCTAGAGCCAGGGTCTCATGTAAGGAATTGTGGCTTCGGTTTCGAAACATTTAACGCACGGGTTACTTCAACTGAAGATCTGGTTACCCTATGTCTACCATAGCTACATCCCACCCGCGACTAGTTGTGGCATCAGTTCGACCGTCCGATGAGAAATACAGAGTCCTACGGCTCAGAATCGCAAAATGCAGCTGATGCTGGTGTCGATGAGGAACCTACGGCTGAGATTCGCTGTTGAAAGCTGATACTAGCGCAGACAGGAAAGGGAACCGGAGAAAACATCGCAAGGAATGCTCAGATCGCCAGAAAGTGATGCCTGACCACTTGCAGCTGAGTGGCACAAACAGATCACCGCCAGGAGTCTGGAGTCGCGTGCACGATTTCGTACGCCATAACGTCTCAGCAGGCATTCCAGCTGCCAGGATCGCACACAGCCAGTGGAAACAAGCGTCACTGGGTATTGCTAAGATGATATCGTAGATGGTGGCCGTCTTTCTACAAATCGATGTAAGATGGTTCAAAACGAGTTGATGCGGTAAAGCGCTGTTTCCAGGCTTGGCTCTCTGGACTCTCAAACCCCGTTACAAATTGTCCTCGTTTCCCACTTCTACGTAAGGTCCACTCCTCCGTTTTCAATTCATGTAGCAGAATTTTGTTCAGTTCACTACCTTGAAAAGCAATACACGCTAGAACCGTTGTGTACTGCGAGAAATCCTACTGAAACGTGCTGCGATGCTCGTCAAATCGAAACCATTCGCCTACATCCCCACCTTGAGTTCATCATCAAACTCCTTGCTGCCAATTTTGTGAATCGGTTACAGACAGTATTGTTAGCGGATTGCACGGCAACCTCGATGCCTGCCGAGACCACCAATGGCAGCAATGCCGAGCCTCGCGTAACTGCACCGTACTGATGGCGGCAATACCGATGCTGTCGATTCCAACGGAAGCAGCACCGACCGATGGTGGTGCATCTGTGGAGAAGTTTAACGATTAGCACAGTAAGTAATACATTATGATCGCTGGCGTTGGTCGACCATTCGGCCGGAGAGGAATATTCAAGAACCGTCTACGGACTACAATGGTAGATGCAGCAGTGCGAGAGGCAGCAGATAGGCTTCTTGGAGTCGCTGGGTTCGCCGTCTGTTATCTTTATTACCGTGGCGCACGATCAATGTGGTGTTGTCCAGTGCAGTTCTTTCTTGGGAACAACGCTCGCATAGTACTTTCCCTTGTGGTCGACTAAAGTCCATTTAGGGTCGAATTATTGGTGAATAGTGGATTTTCCTGGGAGAAATATGGAGGAAGCTTCACTGCTTAATGAGCGTCGTTTTGACGGAGATTCATTCCAAAGTCCGGCTGGAAACTTAGGTCGCGGTTTCGCGACTTCTGCGGTAGATTTTAGTGGGTGTGAAGGGATCGAAGGCTTCGATATCCTCAACGCCGATACAGTTTACTACGAAGCAAGCTCTCTTATTGCAGCTGATAACGTCATCGAAGAAAGTCAGCCACGTGGTGACGTCAGAAGTGTGCCATCTGACGTGGCGAATCCATGTGTAATGGTGATAGGTGACGTGGAAATCCCGTTGGTGATTCCTCCTGGCTCGTCAGCTGACTCTCCCCCTAATGCATGCGACTTAGAAGCCATCCTTGACACGTCACCATCTGACATGGATGCCCTGATTGACACGGTAAGATTCGTCACCCTCTGGCGTCACTAATCCGTGGGATCTCTTCCAAGCCTCGGCCGATGGCCCGGCCCATGCCAGGCAGCCGAGCCATGCAACCAGGCTCGAATAAAGGCTCGGAATCAGGCCCAGCAAGCAGTAACTCAGGTACGGAATACAGCGAGGTTCAGGCAAAGTGCATGGAAGATATCGGCCTTGCGCCTGGGCAGATGACCATGCTCGAAAGAACAACCATGGGTTCAGGTGTGAGAGCAGTGCAAGGGGAAGGGTCACCAGCAGCTAGGGGTGAAATGCAGGGGGGGGTTGGATCAGGAATGGCGATTGAGATGGTGAGTGTGTTGCAGAGCCTGTCCTCTGGGCTTGAGCGACTGAGGGAGCTGCAGGGGGCGATGGAGGCGCAACAGAGGCAGCAGCAGCAGCTGCTGTTGCAGCAGAAAATGCAGATGCAGAGGCAGCAGGAACAGCCGATGCAGCAGCAACAGCAGCAGCAGCAAATGCCGTGGCAACAGCAACAGCCGATGCAGCACCAACAGCAGCAGCAGATGATACAGCAGGAGCAGCATGAGGAGGAAGAGCAGAGGAATCTGCAGCTGGTGCAATCAGCACCACCACTGCAGAGGCGATTGCGGCAGCAGCAGCAGCAGCAGCAGCAGCAGCAGCAGCAGCAACGAGGTTCTATCCCATTCCTCCAGCATCATCAGGCCTAGCACGTTCAACTCGTAAATCAACACACCTCAGCCTCCAAATTCCTCCAACATCCACCCAGCCTCACTCTCTCCTCCTCACACCCCCTCACTACCCCCACTTTCCCACCATCTCCTCACCCGCTAGACCCACCCGTCACCACCGCTCTCCACCTGCGCCCAAACCTTCAATTTGACTTCTCCCTCTTCACAGACTCGTCCCTCCGTCGTGTGGGCATCCCCTCGCAACCCACCAGAGAGGAGGAGAGGGAGCGGCGGCTGAGGCAGCACGTGCTGAAGCTAGCAGAGGCCCACGCAGTGGGGGACTGGGCGCTGGCGCGGCGGTGGGGGAAGAAGGTGCGGGGGGAGGCGAGTGAGGAGGGGGATGTGGCGCAGCGAGTGGCATGGTACATGCTGTAGGCTCTGGATGCCAGAGCGGACGGCACTGCTGCTGTCAAGTGGCGGGCACCGGTCGAGTATAAAGTCAAGGTGGGTCGCTGGTGTGGTGGTGTGTGTGTGTGAGGCGAGAGGTGAGTGCAGGGGGGGTGCAGAGGGGATGTGGCGCAGCGAGTGGCATGGTACATGCTGTAGGCTCTGGATGCCAGAGCGGACGGCACTGCTGCTGTGAAGTGGCGGGCACCGGTCGAGTATAAAGTCAAGGTGGGTCGCTGGTGTGGTGGTGTGTGTGTGTGAGGCGAGAGGTGAGTGCAGGGGGGGTGCAGAGGGGATGTGGCGCAGCGAGTGGCATGGTACATGCTGTAGGCTCTGGATGCCAGAGCGGACGGCACTGCTGCTGTGAAGTGGCGGGCACCGGTCGAGTATAAAGTCAAGGTGGGTCGCTGGTGTGGTGGTGTGTGTGTGTGAGGCGAGAGGTGAGTGCAGGGGGGGTGCAGAGGGGATGTGGCGCAGCGAGTGGCATGGTACATGCTGTAGGCTCTGGATGCCAGAGCGGACGGCACTGCTGCTGTGAAGTGGCGGGCACCGGTCGAGTATAAAGTCAAGGTGGGTCGCTGGTGTGGTGGTGTGTGTGTGTGAGGCGAGAGGTGAGTGCAGGGGGGGTGCAGAGGGGATGTGGCGCAGCGAGTGGCATGGTACATGCTGTAGGCTCTGGATGCCAGAGCGGACGGCACTGCTGCTGTGAAGTGGCGGGCACCGGTCGAGTATAAAGTCAAGGTGGGTCGCTGGTGTGGTGGTGTGTGTGTGTGAGGCGAGAGGTGAGTGCAGGGGGGGTGCAGAGGGGATGTGGCGCAGCGAGTGGCATGGTACATGCTGTAGGCTCTGGATGCCAGAGCGGACGGCACTGCTGCTGTGAAGTGGCGGGCACCGGTCGAGTATAAAGTCAAGGTGGGTCGCTGGTGTGGTGGTGTGTGTGTGTGAGGCGAGAGGTGAGTGCAGGGGGGGTGCAGAGGGGATGTGGCGCAGCGAGTGGCATGGTACATGCTGTAGGCTCTGGATGCCAGAGCGGACGGCACTGCTGCTGTGAAATGGCGAGCGCCGGTCGAGTATAAAGTCAAGGTGAGATGGGTCTGGGGGTTTGGGTGGTGTTGCTGGTTCGTAGATGGAGTGAGAAGGTGGGTCGCTGCTGTGGTGGTGTGTGTGTGTGTGAGATGAGAGGTGAGTGCGGGGGGGATGCGGGGTGGATGCGGGGGGATGCGGGGGGGATGCGGGGGGGATGCAGTGGTGCGTGGTTCATGCTGCATGCTCTGAAGGCGAGGGTGGATAGCACTGCTGCTGTCATGCGGTTGGGATGTGGGTTGCTGGGATGTGTCCTGTGCTGTGTCCTCTGCTCTGTGTGTCAACAGTTTGAGTCTTCTCGGAAAACCATCTTGTCTGTCTCTCCCCTCTTTTCACTTATTTCCGCAAAGAGTGCAGAAGATGTGATGGCAGCAGTGGGGGGCCATTCGCACGAGACCAGCACAGTGCGGTTCAACTCTTGAGGGACCTCAAAGCCCCACCCTACCTATGTTCCCCTCCCCTCACTCTCACACAATCACAGAGCACAGCAGACGTGATGTGATGGCGGCAGTGGGGCACTCCCACGATTCCAACATCCTGTGGATCAACTGTCCCCTCATAGCACCTCCCTCTCTCTTTATCTCTCTTTATCTCTCGTTACCACTCTTTACCACTCTTTACCACTCTTTACCACACACAGAGCACAGCAGACGTGATGGCAGCGGTGGGGCACTCCCACGAGTCCAACATCCTGTCCATCAACTTCGTCTTTGCTGCTCTCCTCCACGAGGTGCCTCGCGCTCTGCTTTCCACTGCGGCAAACATGCCACCACCACCAGCAATCGTAACAGCTTCAGCGGCAGCAGCACCAGCACCAGCAGCAGCACCAGCAACAGCAGCAGCAGGAGCTCCAGCAGCAGCAGCAGCAGCAGCAACCGCACCAACACTCCCAGTCCAACCAGCTTCAAGAGCAGCAACAACAGCAGCAGCAACAACAGCAGCAGCAACAACAGCAGCAGCAACAACAGCAGCAGCAACAACAGCAGCAGCAACAACAGCAGCAGCAACAACAGCAGCAGCAACAACAGCAGCAGCAACAACAGCAGCAGCAACAACAGCAGCAGGAACAACAGCAGCAGGAACAACAGCAGGTGCATTTCCCTCTTCTTTCCCCTTGCATTCGTCCTCTTCCTCTGCACCTCCCTCCCCGTCCCCCGCTCCTCCTCCACACCGCATTCACCTGGTTTCTGAGTCGACTCAAAAGCCCCCCGCCCCACCCCCACGCCGCATTCACCTGGTGATGCTTGGCATCATCGGCGCGCCTCAGTGGGCTTCCCTCCTCTGCCGCATTGCCACTGCCTGTGGCTTCCCTGCTGCTTCTGCGGCTGCTGCTGGTGTTGCTTGTGCAGCAGCTGCTGATCCCGCTCCATCTGCTAATGCGCCTCCGTCCTTTACTTCTGCCGCCTCTGCTGCTGCCGCTGCCACCACTGTCGTTGCTAGCCCTGAATCCAGCACTGCAGTGGGTGAGCCTGGTAGCAGCAGCAGCAGTAGTAGTAGTGGCAACTGTAGCATGTGTGGGGGAAGGCAAAGGAGCAGCGGCAGCAGCAGTGGCAGTGGCAGTGGCAGTGGGGGCGGGGAGGTAGGTGCAGGCACATGCAGCGGGTGTGGCCTTTCAGAGTCTGCTGCTGCTGTGACTGCTGCTGCTCATGCAGTGCTGTTCACAGGGTTAGAACTGGAAGCTGCAGAGAAGGGGGGCACAGCACAGCAGCAGCAGCAACAGCAGCAGCAGCACCCACACTCTCCCCCGCCTCTCTCCATCCGCGTTACAGGCATCAACGGTAATGCTGTCCCGCTCGATTCAGCCCTCACCGTCTCCTCCTTCGGGCAGCCGTTCTTCAGACAGCTCGCAAAAGTTTTGGGGGTGCCCGTGACGTTTGAGATGGTGGATGTGCCTTTGGAATCGCTTCATCCGGGCATGGTGAAGGTTCAGCCGGGGGAGGAGGTGGTGGTTTGCACCCTCTGGACGCTCATGCTCTTCCCAGATGACTCTGTTCTCAGGCACAACCCACGAGATGCCGTGCTTAAGGTGCGAACTGCTGTGCTATAAAGATGCGCTCCATTCTTTCGTAGGTAGATTTTTTAGTGGTTTATTCTGTTATAGGTTTTTCCTTTTTTTTTTTTGTTTTTTTTTAGGTTGATCTTCTTGTATGTTGATCTTTTTGTAGGTTGGTTATTTTGTGGCTTGATTCTCTTGTAGGTTGATCTTTTTGTACATTGATTTTTGTGTAGGTTGAATTTTTCTTGTAAACTGATTTTGTTGCAGGTTGATCATTTTGTGGGTTGATTCTTTTGTAGGTTGATTTTTTTTGTAGCATCTTTCGTAGGTTGATTTTGAGAATTCTCAAAATCAACGTACTCAAGGTGAGAACTGCTGTGCTCTTGAGATGCTGAAGGTCTGCTGTGGTGTTTACACTGAGGAGGTTAAGGGGTGCAGGTGAGAGTAAAATCACGTTCGTTGCAGTGCTCAACTTAAGGTAAGGTGCCATGCTCGTTCGTGTAACATGTCCCGATTTCCATCCACACGTTGCAAGGCAAGTGACAGAGACTCTGATAGGTAGTCTTAGCACTGACTCTGATAGGTAGTCTTAGCACTGACTCTGATAGGTAGTCTTAGCACTGACTCTGATAGGTAGTCTTAGCACTGACTCTGATAGGTAGTCTTAGCACTGACTCTGATAGGTAGTCTTAGCACTGACTCTGATGCTGCTAACAGAGGTCGACACGGCCCTCAACTGCTCCTTCTTCCTCGCCCTGACTCTCTTGAGTCAACTCAAAACCCCCCTTCCTTTCTCTCCCTGTGCCTCCCCTACCTTGCCCCCCCTCCCATCAAACCCAGTGGATCCAGGCTCTTAAACCCCGCCTGGTGCTGCTAGCAGAGGTCGACGCGGCCCTGAACGGCCCCTTCTTCCTTCCTCGCCCTGACTTTTTCGTCTACTCAAAACTCCGCTCCCTTCCATCCAAACCCTAGTTAACCCCTCCAGTGGATCCAGGCTCTCAAGCCCCGCCTGGTGGCGCTAGCAGAGGTCGACGCGGCCCTCAACGGCCCCTTCTTCCTCGCCTGCACTTTTCCGTCCAACGCACGGACTTGGATAAACTGGTGTTAGGTGTAAACTCCCCTTTCCCTCTCTGGGCACACACACCCCTCCCCCCCTCCCTTCCAGTGGATCCAGGCACTCAAGCCCCGCCTGGTGGCGCTAGCAGAGGTCGACGCGGCCCTCAACGAGCCCTTCTTCCTTCTCCTAAATATTGACTTGACCCGAAACCCGTCCCTACTAAACCCTTTTAAACCCCTCTAAATGCCTGCTTACCCTACAAACCCCCCTGAACCCCTTCCAGTGGATCCAGGCCCTCAAGCCCCGCCTCGTCCTTCTAGCAGAGGTAGACGCGGCCCTCAACGGCCCCTTCTTCCTCGCCCGCGTGCGCGAGACCTTCCGATCCATGCTCGCTTTCATCTCAGCCTTTCATGCCGCCAAGCCCGATGCCTTAATCTCGCCCGTCCATTCCATGTGGGAGGCGGTGCTGTTCCGCGAGCTCATCAACTGCGTCGGATGCGAGGGGATCCAACGGCTGATACGCGCCGAGAGGCTGGAGCAGTAGCAGGAGCGGATGCGGAAGTTAGGGTTTGAGGAAGTGGAGCTCGGGAGGGAGGCATTGGCTGCTATGAGGGAGACAACGGAGGGGAGGGATGGGAGATTTGAAGTGGTGTCGGTGGGGGGTGCGGCTAGGCTCATGTGGAAAGGGCAACCCGTGCTGGCTGTGTCTACTTGGAGGTGACTGAGGTGTGAGCTTGAGCACCATGAGCGAGGGAAAGAGAGGATGGATGTAATGAAAGTACGGGTTAACGTTGCAGGCGGTTCAAGCGGGTGTTGGTGGGGGGTGCAGCGAGGCTCATGTGGAAAGGGCAGCCGGTTCTAGCTGTGTCTTCTTGGAGGTGATTGGGCGGTGAGCTTGGAAACTAGGGCCTATTGTGTTGAGTTGTCTCAAAACAAGGCCCTGGGGTGGGGCATTAGGAGGGAGGGAAGGGGAGGATGGAGGCAAGGAAATAACGAGCGGTTTGTAGAGGTTTTGGTGGGTGGTGGTGCAGCGGTGGTGCAGTGAGGCTCGTGTGGAGAGGCGCTGATGATGTTGATGTTGGTTGTTGCTGCTCGGAGGTGATTGGAGGCATGAGCTTGTGAAGTAATGGTGAGGGCAAGAGTATGCAGCAACGAAGGAAGTGGTTACTTTGCAATGGTTTTGCAAGGGTTTCAGTGGGGTGCAGTGAGGCTCGTGTGGAGAGGGCAGGCCAGATGGTGCTGGTTATTTCTGCTTGGAGGTGACAGGTTGGTGGTGGTGGATATAATCAAGGCATGGAAACAGGAGGGAGGGATACGGTACAGGTTGTATATATCGTAGAACAATTGCTTGCATGGGCAATTGTGCGCTGGAGCTGGTGTGGTGTACAGAGTGCTGTGTTGTTTCAACAGTTGCTTTCATCATCAACCCGGTTCATAGTTTCCTAACAGCCACAGATACCTGACCAAGACTACTCATGGAGACACATTTTACACAAGAGCTTGATTGAATATATTCATAAACCTAACACAATAAATCTGCATGTCCTAGCCGTTGGGAGCACACCGGACCAGAGCCAACCCTTAGGAGCGCGCCAGATCAGAGCCATCCCTCCGAGAGTGCAGCGGACCAGAGCCATCCCGTTGAGAGTGCACCGGACCAAAGCCATCCCTTTGGGAGCGCACCGGACCAGAGCCATCCCTTTTGGGAGCGCACCGGACCAGAGCCATCCCTTAGGAGCGCGCCGGACCAGAGCCATCCCTCCGGGAGTGCAGCGGACCAGAGCCATCCCGTTGAGAGCGCACCGGACCAAAGCCATCCCTTCAGGAGCGCAACGGACCAGAGCCATCCCTTCGGGAGCGCACCGGACCAGAGCCATCCCCTCGGGAGCGCACCGGACCAGAGCCATCCCTTTGGGAAAGCACAGGACCAGAGCCATCCCTTTGGAATCGCATAGGCCGTGATGCCACCAACCTTGAGGATCGCACTTCAAGCCCAGCCAGAGCCACATGCCAGCAGATTATCAACCTTCCATTCCCCACCCGTTTCCCAACCCACTCTCCGGAACACCCTGACGAGCAGGCAGGGTGCAAAAAAGGGTCCCACCATCGTCCCACTTCCCCAACCACCCAGCCACCGCCCCACTGCTGCCTTGTGCTTGCGGCTCTGCTTCTGTGCCCTCCACCCGTTCATCCTGCTGCAGTCTTCCTCACTTTTCTGCTTCTCAAATGATGGCTCGGGGCAACTCTTGGTAGATCTGCAGCTTGGATGTTCGACCTTACGGCCGCCTGCAGGAGCTTGCAGAGACTGGCAGCAGTGCTTACGGCCGCCTGCAGGAGCTTGCAGAGACTGGCAGCAGTGCTTACGGCCGCCTGCAGGAGCTTGCAGAGACTGGCAGCAGTGCTTACGGCCGCCACGGACGGCGCGAGCTAGCAGCCAGCACGACCTTGGGTGACGGTCCAGTACGAGGCTTCCCAAGACTCCGAGCTGTGGAAATCGCACCACTCCTCTCCTCCTGCTGCTTCGTGCCGTTGGCGCTCCTACGTCCTCGCACCCGCCCTTCTGCTGCTGCGGCTCCTGCTGGCCGCGGAATCAACGTCGTCATCTCCACCGCACGGTTTTTCACGAGCACCGTTCTCTGACCGCTTGGTTTGGGGATGCGCGATGGCAGCAGGTGTGAGGCAGGTTCTGATTTCGTCGCTGCCTTCGCCAAGCCAGATGCTACCACCATCAGGGAACCTTCAGCCGCCGACAACAACGTTGCTGGTTGCAATGTCCCCGCTGGCTTCAGAGTCACCGCTTCCGACGCCGCAGCTTCCGATGCCACCAGTTCCGACGCCTCCGCTTCCGACGCCTCCGCTTCCGACCGCCCCGCTTCCGACGCCCCCGCTTCCAGCGCCACCAGTTCCGATGCCTCCGGTTTCGACCCTACCGCTTCCGACGCCTCCGCTTCCGAAGTGATCGATTCTGAAGACATCGATTCCGACGCCACCGCTTCCAACACCGCCGCATCCGAAGTGATCGATTCCGACACCACCCGTTCCGACATCACCGCTTCCGACGATTCCGACGTTATCGATTCCGACGCCACACGTTCCGTCGGCGACGCCATGGATTCCGAGAGGGTGGGGGGTTCCGACGTCACAGCCGCCGGTACAGACGCCATTGGATCCGAAGTTGGCCGATCCAGCATCGACGGACCTGAAGTTATCGGTTCGGCGGATGCCGCCGAACCGGCCGTCGCCGAACCTTGAACTTCAAGTTCTTGATTCGTCATTCCTAGCAGCGACGCTGCAGAGTCGATAAGACAGGCTTTGCTGCGGCTGGAGTCGTCTACGCGCTCACTGCTGGCGTCAGCGCAGGGGAGCATCGCGTCGCCGGTTTCAGTGCTGCAGGACGTCAGCCTGAGGCCGTCAGCCTGGCGGAGCTTGCTCGTCACGCTGCTAATTGAGGAGCTCCGAGGCTGCAGCAACGGTTGCGTCGAATTAGAATTGCAACTAAGATTCTTCCAGAAACTAAGCGCACTGAAGTACGAAGGGTAGTCAGACTCTAAGGCCATCGTGGTGATTCTTCAGAGCGTGGGTAAACGTGAAGCTAATCCGAAGGCTAGAGGCGATGGTGGGCAGAAGCTAACGTGAGACAAATAGATAGGCTTTCTGGCTGCAGATTTGTAGGCATAAGATAGACTCCGATGGGCAGCAGATAGTCGAGTGACAGAATGGATGGAGGGAGATGGGGGTAGGGCGGGAAGCGCGGATCTGACTTGGCTCGGGAAGGAGGGCTGCTTGGGCTCGGTTGGGAGAATGTCGCTGGGTTCTCTCAAGTCGCTGCCGAACCTGAGACTGTGCTTTGTTCCCGCAAAGGTCGCTTGGCTGCCCGCCCCTAAAAATTCTGGGACGGGTTGGCTGTTTGGAGCAATTGAAGCCCACGATTTTTGTTAGCCACTGCCCGCAATGAATTCCATGGACTGCCCGACTCGATGTTTGAGCTGGCAGTGCGAATTTTGGTGACCGCGCTGCGATTTGGCGAGAAGCGGCGAAATCTGAGGGAATGTGCGACGTTCTCGGGGCACCCTGTCAACCTCGAGGTTTGACCACAGTTGCCAGTAGATCTCACTCACTACCTCTTTATCTCTAAACACCGTACGGGATCCCCCACTAGCTTGTAACCCCGAAAGCGTCGTGTTTGAGGCCTGGGCATGAAGCTTCGGAATCGAACCTCCTCGCCTTGGTTTTGTTCCGCAAAAATCAGCGCCTTTAAGTGCTCCTACACTGCTCACGTATACAGTGTTTTTAGGTTCTGGTCGTATTCCTTTTCTTATACTGCTAATGTTGATACTTGTGACATCACTCGTGGGGTAGCAAACAGGGGGTGAAATGTGGAAAGGAAAACTCTAGTTCATTACATCTTCCTGTTAGGGTCCTTCACACTCTATAATTGCTTCCGCCATGGCCAAACTGGTCGAGGGAGTCCTCAACGATGACAACTAGGACGACAGCTACAAGAACAGGAAAAGAGTTAGGTAGCAGAAGTTGACAATGTCGACATAAAGACGTACCAAAGATGTGATAAAAAGAGATGCTAGCAAAGATTTCGATGAGTTTCATCTGCAAAATGGGGTGCTAGCTAGTGTGCTGGTGTGGTACATTGTTAAAATTACAGTACGGTACTGGAAACACACTTTGTTTCAGTCAATTCTGTACAGAAAAACGAGCTGACCAAACATGCACAGCTTGCCTTATAACAAGCATCCACCACCACCAAAAGGTTTACCCAGCCCAACCTGCTTTGTCTGGGCCATCCATTCTTTGTCACATCTCATAATTTCTGCCATCCCTCCCACCACAGTACCGTACTACCTAGTATGAGCATGGAAATTGGGTGGCGGTATGGGAATGTCTGCCTTGCAGCATCTCTGGAACGTGCACACTGGCATAGTGTAAACGGGTGTCCTCCATTCTGCATCATAGATTCACACACAGCCAATGTTGCCACAGATCATTGCCGCCAGCTGATCCGTTTCTGTCAGCCAGTCGGTTGCTGCCAGCCATTCAGTTTCTGCCAATCGATGGGTTGCTGCCAGCCAATCCACTGCTGCCAGCCAATCAATGGCTGCCAGCCAATCCGTGGCATCACGAGAAGCTGGTGGTAACCACCAGTGAAGGAAGCCATCCACAGCAGAAACGGCATGCAGGAAACTTCTTCCACACGCCCTGCTCCACGCTCCCTCCACCTCCACTTCCCCACTCCCCTACTACCCCCTCCCCACTCCACCACCTTTCACGAATTTTCCCCGCTCCCCTTGCCCTCATTTCCCCGGCAGCCCTGCCACACCCATCTCTTCCGCTCCACCCTCCCATACGCACCAATCTCCCCTTTCTCCTTTACCCTTTCCCGCATCAGCCTCCTGTTTCCCTCATCTCCCCCCCAGCCCTGCTGTAACCATCTCCTCCACCTTCCCATGCGCTCTGCTCCATGCTCTCTCTACCTCCACTTTTCCAACCCCCTTCCTCCTGCCCCCCTCCTGCCCCCCTCCCAACGAGCTTCCCCCAGTTTATTCCCACTTTCCCCATCATCTCCCCCCCAGCCCTACCACAACCATCTCCTCCACCTTCCCATACGCCCTGCTCCATACGCACCAATCTCCCCTTTCTCCTTTCCCCTTTCCCGCATCAGCCTCCTGTTTCCCTCATCTCCCCCCCAGCCCTACCGCAACCATCTCCTCCACCTTCCCATACGCCCTGCTCCATACGCACCAATCTCCCCTTTCTCCTTTACCCTTTCCCGCATCAGCCTCCTGTTTCCCTCATCTCCCCCCCAGCCCTGCTGTAACCATCTCCTCCACCTTCCCATACGCCCTGCTCCATACGCACCAATCTCCCCTTTCTCCTTTCCCCTTTCCCGCATCAGCCTCCTGTTTCCCTCATCTCCCCCCCAGCCCTACCGCAACCATCTCCTCCACCTTCCCATACGCCCTGCTCCATGCGCCCTCCACATCCTCCGTCCACCCCGAACCCAAAGCCTTGCCCACTGTTTTGAGAAACGCCATTCGAAACACCTGAGAGAGTGGGGAGAGGCAGGGGAAACGGGAGGGGAAAGGCAGTTGACGAAGGGGGTTTCATGCGCCCTCCACATCCTCCGTCCACCCCGAACCCAAAGCCTTTCCCACTGTCTTAAGGAATGCCATCCGGAACACCTGAGAGGATGGGGAAGCAGGGAAAGCGGGAAGAAAGAGATGGTGTGTGTGTGTAGGGCATGAGGTGCTCCATGCGCCCTCCACCTCCTCCGTCCACCCTGAACCCAAAGCCTTGCCCACTGTCTTAAGGAATGCCATCCGGAACACCTGAGCGGGTGGGGGAAGGCAGGGAAATGGGGAGGGAAGAGATGGTGGTAGTGTTGAAGGTGCGAGCTGAGCTGTTCCATGCGCCCTCCACTCCACCTCCTCCACCCACCCCGAGACCCAGAGCCTTGGCCACTGTTTTAAGAAACGCCGTCCGGAACACCTGAGAGGGGTGGTGGGTGAGCAGGGAAAGGAGAAGGGGGAGAAAATGGTTGGCGAGGGCTGCTCCATGCTTCTTCCACCTTCGCTCGCCGCCCACCCTGAACCCAAAGCCCTGCTCCATGCGCCCTCCACATCCTCCGTCCACCCAGAACCCGTCCGGAACACCTGAGAGGGCGGAGGGAGCAGGACAAAGGGGAGGGAGCAGGACAAAGGGGAGGGAGAAAGTGGTTGGCAAAAGGTTCTCCCATGCTCTCTCCTCCTCCTAAGCCCACCCATGCCCACAGATATGAGAAACGCCATTCGGAACACCTGCGAGAAACCCCTGAGAAAGTGGGGGAAGGCAGGGGCACGGAGGGAGAAGGAGAAGATGGGTGTCTGGTGCTTCATTCTCCACCCACATACATTGCATTGTACTTGATGCGTTTGCCGACATTGAGGTGCCTCAAGAGCCATTCTCCACCCGTAAACATTGTACTTGATGCGTGAACTGAAATTGCACCTGTAGAGACATATAGCTCAGCAACAACACTGTCGAAATACCGGATTAAATCAGGCTCATAACAAGTTCATAACACATATCATAATGTGTTGTACCGCCATATGTGGGCGCCTGACGTTGTACTTGATGTGTCTGCCGCCCAGAGCCTGCATCGCTGGCAGCATGCCGGCCACCGCTACTCTGTCGTCCAGCTGGCAGCACGAGTCACAGATCTGACGTGGCACGAAGCATTCCAGATACATGCACCGGCAGAGTGGAGTGGAAAGATCAAAGGCAGGGAGTCATGACATGCTGGCAAGCAGGCATGGCATGGAATGGCACATCAACATGGCATGAGGGCATGCACTGGCACAGCACGAGGCATGCATGGATGCAATATGCAATAGAGGCATGCATGGATGCAATATGCAATAGAGGCATGCATGGATGCAATATGCAATAGAGGCATGCATGGATGCAATATGCAGTAGAGGCATGCATGGATGCAATATGCAATAGAGGCATGCATGGATGCAATATGCAGTAGAGGCATGCATGGATGCAATATGCAGTAGAGGCATGCATGGATGCAATATGCATTAGAGGCATGCATGGATGCAATATGCATTAGAGGCATGCATGGATGCAATATGCATTAGAGGCATGCATGGATGCAATATGCATTAGAGGCATGGCGAGGAGAACTGAGCATCACAACGCCCATGTCTTGAAGGAACCAAAACAGCCGCTACTTTCGAGGCGCCTTAACAAGTTGTGGGTCAAGAGACAACTTTTGAGGCGCTCAGAAGGCATGGCGAGAACTGAAAGGAACGGAAAGTGCCCCCTCTCTCTTCTTTTGAGGCGCCTCAAGAGGCAGTGTGAAAACTGAAAGGAACGGAAAGTGCCCCCTCTTTCTTCTTCTGCGGCGTCTCAAAAGTCGTCTCAAGTCTCGAGGGTTTTATGTGTGGAGAATTTCGAGGCGCCTTGAAAAATAGAGGCATGCTGAGAACTGAGCATTGGCTCGTCAAGGTTTCAAAGAAACGAAAAAGCCCTTTCTTTCCTCCCCAGCCTCCCCACCCACTTAATCGTCATCCAACCGCCCACTAATCGCCCCACTGAACTGACCAGCTTGAATGCCGTGTTGGCGTGTCACTGCAGAACGCGGTTGGTGGGCGCCGGCTCGTCCATGTCCGAGAGAAACCAGAACCCCTCCTTTCCTTCCCCCTCTCACCCTCTTTCTTCCTCTTCCCCAACCCCTCCACCTACCAGCTTGAACGCCGGGTTTGCGTGTCACTGCAGCACGCGGTTGGTGGGTGCCGACGTGTCCATGTCCGGCAGAAACAAAAAAAACTCTCCATTTCTCCCCCCCCCCCCCCCTCTTTCCTATTCTCCCCGTCCCCTTCCTCTCCCCACTGAATTGACCAGCTTCAAGTACAGGCATGGCGTGCCACTGTGGCACGGGGTTGGCTGGTTTGCGCCCTTTGTCCTCTTCCCTCTCTCCCCCCACCAGCGCTCCCTCCCCTCCCCCCCTCCCTCCAACCCACTGAGCAGCTTGAAGGTGGTGTTGGTGTGTCTCTGCAGCACGGGGTTGGTGGGCGCCCCTTCTCCTCCTCCCCCTCTCTCCCCGTCATCGCCTCCTCCCCTCTCCCCTTCTTACACACACACTCACCAGCTTGAATGCCGTGTTGGCGTGTCTCTGCAGCACGGGGTTGGTGGGTGCCGGCTCATCCACGCGTCAACCCCCCTCACCCCCTTCCCTTTCCCCCCTTCCCTTTCCCCCCTTCCCTTTCCCCCCTTCCCCGCCTCCCAATCCACTGACCAGCTTGAAGGCGGTGTTGGCGTGTCTCTGCAGCACGGGGTTGGTGGGCGCCGGCTCATCCATGTCCCGCACGAACCAGAAGAGATCCCTCATCTCCTCCGACACGTCAAATATGCTGGGGGGGAGGGGATGAAGAGAGAAGAGATGCACGGATGGGCAGTGAGGCACGAACCAGAAGAGATCCCTCATCTCCTCCGACACGTCAAATATGCTGGGGGGGAGGGGATGAAGAGAGAAGAGATGCACGGATGGGCAGTGAGGCACGAACCAGAAGAGATCCCTCATCTCCTCCGACACGTCAAATATGCTGGGGGGGAGGGGATGAAGAGAGAAGAGATGCACGGATGGGCAGTGAGGCACATGAGCGTTCGACATCGATCAGAAGAGAACCCTCATGCCCTCTACATGTGAAGATTGCTGGATGGTCGGACGAGCAGAGAGACATGAGCAGAGAGACATGATATGAGCAGAGAGACATGACATGAGCAGAGAGAGACAGGAGCATGAAGGGGCGACGGAGCATGCTAGATGTCAGAATGAGCGATGGTCACACTGAGACACGCCGAACACAGGGGAGAGGAACATGATGAGCGTGTGATGCGCAATATACGTGCTAGTGAATCGTCTTTACGGGTACGAACGTGAGGAAAACGACGAGCGCGTGAGGAGCACGAAGAGTGCAAACGAAGTGTCTTATAGAGGGGGAAGTATGTGAGGAACATGATCAATGGTGACTGAATTGTGGCTGGAGCCGTTTAAACGTCTCCCGTACGATTTCCTTGTCTAATGCATGCAAAAGAACCATCTCATAGCGGAGCAGGTACGTAGGTGAGGAACATAATCAATGCGTGGTGGATGAGATGCGGCTGCAGCCGTTTGAAGGTTTCCCGTACGACCCTTTCGTGTGTTAATGCGTGCAAACGAACCGTCTTATAGCGGGTACGTACGTGAGGAACATGATAAGCGCGTGGTGACTGAGGTGCGGCTGTAGTTTTTTGTACGTCTCCCGCACGATCTCCGCGTCGCTCGAGGCGATCATCACGTCGTCCAGCCGCAAACCCGCCGTGCCTAGCGGCGAGCGACCCGCCATGCGAGGCGGCGACGGAGATGGACGGAGATTGACGGAGATGGACGTAGATAGACGGAGATGGACGGAAATGTGGACGACGACGGGCGGAAAAGGTGATAAACGAGGCGTGTCGTCGATAGAGAACGTAGAGATCCCAAGAGACGTTGGACGAGGAAATGGACGAGTCAAGAAACGGATATTAAGAAACAGCCACGCGTCGACAGTGGATGGATCACCCGACCGTGGATGGATGAACGGCGACCGTTGATGGATCACGGAGCGCGTCTACCAAGTGCGTGGGATAGAACGGCACACCAGGAAAAAAACGGTCGCTTTAGTCCTGCGCCTGATGCTAATGTGACTACTTGTGAGAGAGTCAGGGTGAGTAGTCGTCGTCACGACACTCGTCACTCACAATGCTGTGCCCGTTCTTCCGACTATCACGGCATTCCCAAGGGTGCTAGCTCCTGGAATCTCACCCTGATACCTGCTTCGCTGCTATTCTGGAGCCGTCCAGCCCGAGAGAATTGCTCCAGAACCTTGTTTGGTGATTCGTTCTTGCCCACGTGGCCTCAAATTGCTCGCGTGGCCATCCAATTCAATGATAATTGCTTGAGTGGCCGCGCCTGGAAATTCTCAACGTCTTTTTTTATAGAGTGCACATTACCCTTCAAGGATATATCCTCAAAACAATTTGTCTTTGTTATTGCCCGACCTTTAATATCCGAAATTTATGTTCTTGCCCCTATATGACCGCGCCTGATTGGACGCGCATAGAAACGACCAATCATGCGCGGCCATTTATGGTGTCGCGCATCATATATTAATGCCCGAGCATATATTTTCTCGATCATAAACTGCAATGCTGGGGCGTCAATGCGCGGGACCTTTAATGACCGCGCATGATTGGTCGTTTATATGCGCGGTGCTTTTTTTGGCTATGCGCGTCCAATCAGGCGCGGTCATATAGGGTTACGAGCATAAATTTTGGATATTGAAGATCGCGCCGCAACCAATACATTGGTTTCGGGACTACAGACCCTTGTAGGGTAATGTGCCGAGTAAAAAAAAGCGAGCGGGAGTCCCCTGGCGTGGCCACTCGAGCAATTATCGCTGAATTGGATGGCCACGCGAGCAATCCCAGGCCACGCGGGCAAGACCGAGTCACGAAACATGGTTCTAAAGCAATTCTCTCCGTCCAGCCCTCATTGGAATGTCGAGATTGAGCCGTACAATTTCATTATTACACGTTGCAGAACACTATTCACCTATATCAATTTTGAAACTGTGCAAATAATTTGTTCCCGACTTGGTAACTCGAGTTTTCGTCAGATTCGTAGTCGTCGCACAGGGGCATGCCCCTGGCCAGGCCATGACACCAAGCAAATCGCTAGCCCAAACCATGCAGCATACCATAAAACAGCTCCGATCCGCGCTCTCGTCGCCGCTTGTTGCGGTCATCAGCTTTTCTGTGTTTGTCCCAAACTCAAACACGTGGGTGGGATTTTCGATACATTTTACGCAAACGTCTTTTTCAGATTAATTATAGTCCTGCGCGTGGGATCGTTGCGATATATATTCCTTGAACCTCGCAATCCGAGTTTACGTGTAATCCCGTCTTGAGCCACTTTAGGAGATTCTTGAAACTGCCCGGAGCGACGCTTCCGTCGTTGCCGTCCGTCTCCGGCTTGAATTTACGAAATTCGCGAAGACCGAGATGTCGCTCGCCTCTCGCCGAACGCCTCGGTTAGCAGTCGAATGGGGTACATGGGCGTCGTTAATCGTCGCACTGCTCGCACACGTCGCATCCGTTAAAGGATCAGCTGATGCGGAGGCAGGCAGTGGAGGAATGGGTGCGAGCGGGATCGAGACGGGAAGCAGCAACGTGTGGGTGGTGCTGGTGGGCTCGTCGCGAAACTGGTGAGTGCGAACATACTGATGAGGTGCAGTGGAGCGTAGCGGGGTGCAGCGGGGTGCAGTGTGATTGTGAAGGGTAGCAAGGGGGAGGAGAGGTGAGGCGAGCAGCAACATCGTGTGAATGGTACTAAGTCTAGAAACGAGGGCATGACAAGTGCATGTGGTGTGGGTAACGCCGGTGGAATTTTCGTTCATCTGGCGAGCTGATTGCCGATACTGCAGCATTCTATAAAGGGGCAGAAGATGGTGAGATGAATTGGAGTGGTGTGTTGGCCGACTTGAGGGCTGTGAGTGCAAATGAGAGCTGAACTTGCAAGGCAGCAGTGTCGGTGTGTGAGTGAGAATGGTAGGAGGTGGGATGTGTCAGGTGTTATGCGTGGAGGTGGGTTGCGTTGTGGTGGGAGGAGGTGGTGGTCGCGTGATGGGATATGTCGGGTCATGGACGATTTATCGAGTGTTGGGCTGGCTGGGTTGGCATGTGATCATGTTCTTTGAGTTAAGTTTGTCAAGTGTGGTGTGGGGATGGGTTGACCTAACCTAACTTAAAACACTCCGTCACATGCCCTAGGGTTGGCCTAACTCAAAACACTCCGTCACATGCCCTAGGGTTGGCCTAACTCAAAACACTCCGTCACATGCCCTAGGGTTGGCCTAACTCAAAACACTCCGTCACATGCCCTAGGGTTGGCCTAACTCAAAACACTCCGTCACATGCCCTAGGGTTGGCCTAACTCAAAACACTCTGTCACATGCCCTAGGGTTGGCCTAACTCAAAACACTCCGTCACATGCCCTAGGGTTGGCCTAACTCAAAACACTCCGTCACATGCCCTAGGGTTGGCCTAACTCAAAACACTCCGTCACCTGCCCTAGGGTTGGCCTAACTCAAAACACTCCGTCACGTGCCCTAGGGTTGGCCTAACTCAAAACACTCCGTCACATGCCCTAGGGTTGGCCTAACTCAAAACACTCCATCACATGCCCTAGGGTTGGCCTGACTCAAAACACTCCGTCACATGCCCTAGGGTTGGCCTAACTCAAAACACTCCGTCACATGCCCTAGGGTTGGCCTAACTCAAAACACTCCGTCACATGCCCTAGGGCTGGCCCAACTCAAAACACTCCGTCACATGCCCTAGGGTTGGCCTAACTCAAAACACTCCGTCACATGCCCTAGGGTTGGCCTAACTCAAAACACTCCGTCACATGCCCTAGGGTTGGCCTAACTCAAAACACTCCGTCACATGCCCTAGGGTTGGCCTAACTCAAAACACTCCGTCACATGCCCTAGGGTTGGCCTAACTCGAAACACTCCGTCACATGCCCTAGGGTTGGCCTAACTCGAAACACTCCGTCACATGCCCTAGGGTTGGCCTAACTCAAAACACTCCGTCACATGCCCTAGGGTTGGCCTAAGTCAAAACACTCACTCCATCACATGCCCTAGGGTTGGCCTAACTCAAAACACTCCGTCACATGCCCTAGGGTTGGCCTAACTCAAAACACTCCGTCGGATGTGTAGGCATGTGACGGAGTGTTTTGAGTTAGGCTTGCTGGATGTGTGATGGTCTAGTCAAGCATGACACCATGGTATGACTTGAAAGCCGTTAACTGCATCAGGGATCCATGATACACGGTGTCGTGGCTTGTGGTTCTCATTGCTTTGTTTCCGCATGCCTTTGTTTCACGCATGGCACGACCTGCTTAACAATCAATGAGATGCGTCATGTGGGATGATGGGATGTGTAATGTGTGATGTGCTGTTTGTGATCTGGGATGATGGGATGTGTGATGTGCTGTTTGTGATGTGGGATGATGGGATGTGCGATGTGCAATGTACGGGCTCCTTGTGTGCATCTATGGCAGGCTGAACTATCGAGACAACGCCAACACCCTTGCCCTGTACAGGTAACACGCAGCCTGCTGATTGCCCCTACACACTATTGGCCGGGTTTGTTCTGGAAGTTGGATGGGAACATCTGTCAGCCATGTCAAATGCCTTGTCGCTGCTCACTGCTCGCTGCTCACTGCTCGCTGCTCACTGCTCGCTGCTCACTGCTCGCTGCTCACTGCTCGCTGCTCACTGCTCGCTGCTCGCTGCTCATCATGTCAACGCCCTTGCAAACCCCATGATCCACCCCTTACAACTGCACCTCTCCACCTTCCCACAACGAATAAATACCCAATCTCTTGAAGCACATCCTCATGCTCATGCTCGCACACAACATGCCCTGCAACCCCCTCCACAACTGCAACCTTTGTAGTTAACCCCCACACCCCCCCCACAACCCCTTTCAACCACACCCCACCGCTCTCCACCATCCCTTGCACCATCAAGAGTGTGCGGGATCTGGGCGCCTCAGACGAGCGAATCATTCTCATGCTCGCCGACAACATGCCCTGCAACCCTTGCAAGCCTCAAAAGTCCCACTCATGCGCCACCCCATGACTCACCCCTTCCCTTTGGCTCAAATCTGCCCCTTCATGCGTCACCAGGAGTGTGCGGGATCTGGGCGTGTCAGACGAGAGAATCATTCTCATGCTGGCCGACAACATGGCCTGCAACCCCTGCAACCCTTTTACCCTCCACAACCCTCGGAACCCCCGTCAACCGCACCCCACCAATCCCCATGCCTTTATCCAAAGGAGTGTGCGGGATCTAGGCATGCCAGATGAGCGAATCATCCTCATGCTGGCGGACAACATGCCCTGCAACCCCCGCAACCCCCACAACCCCCTTCAACCACCCCCCACCACTCTCCACCCAGGAGTGTGCGCGACCTAGGCGTGTCAGATGAGCGAATCATCCTCATGCTGGCGGACAACATGCCCTGCAACCCCCGCAACCCCCACCCTGGCCGCGTCTTCCACAGCCCTGACCACCGCCTGAACCTCTATGGGGAACACGTGGAGGTGAGGAGAGGGTAGTGCCCCAGGGACTCCCATGCTTGCCTGTCCGTCTTCCACAGCCCTGACCACCGCCTGAACCTCTATGGGGAACACGTGGAGGTGAGGAGAGGGTAGTGCCCTAGGGACTCCCATGCTTGCCTGTCCGTCTTCCACAGCCCTGACCACCGCCTGAACCTCTATGGGGAACACGTGGAGGTGAGGAGAGGGTAGTGCCCTAGGGACTCCCATGCTTGCCTGTCCGTCTTCCACAGCCCTGACCACCGCCTGAACCTCTATGGGGAACACGTGGAGGTGAGGAGAGGGTAGTGCCCTAGGGACTCCCATGCTTGCCTGTCCGTCTTCCACAGCCCTGACCACCGCCTGAACCTCTATGGGGAACACGTGGAGGTGAGGAGAGGGTAGTGCCCTAGGGACTCCCATGCTTGCCTGTCCGTCTTCCACAGCCCTGACCACCGCCTGAACCTCTATGGGGAACACGTGGAGGTGAGGAGAGGGTAGTGCCCTAGGGACTCCCATGCTTGCCTGTCCGTCTTCCACAGCCCTGACCACCGCCTGAACCTCTATGGGGAACACGTGGAGGTGAGGAGAGGGTAGTGCCCTAGGGACTCCCATGCTTGCCTGTCCGTCTTCCACAGCCCTGACCACCGCCTGAACCTCTATGGGGAACACGTGGAGGTGAGGAGAGGGTAGTGCCCTAGGGACTCCCATGCTTGCCTGTCCGTCTTCCACAGCCCTGACCACCGCCTGAACCTCTATGGGGAACACGTGGAGGTGAGGAGAGGGTAGTGCCCTAGGGACTCCCATGCTTGCCTGTCCGTCTTCCACAGCCCTGACCACCGCCTGAACCTCTATGGGGAACACGTGGAGGTGAGGAGAGGGTAGTGCCCTAGGGACTCCCATGCTTGCCTGTCCGTTTTCCACAGCCCTGACCACCGCCTGAACCTCTATGGGGAACACGTGGAGGTGAGATGAGGTTGTTGAGACGGGTTGTTGTGATCATGTCTGTGTGTATCCCACAGTCTCAACCAACCACCGCCACATTTCCCCTTGGCTTTGAGGTGGACTACCGCGGGGCCGAGGTGACAGTCGATGCGTTCCTGCAGCAGCACAGACACAGCCCTTCCTCACCCCTTCCTCCCCCCTCCCGCTTCCCCCTCCCGCCTCCCGCTTCCCCCTCCCCACTCCCGCTCCTCCCCCTGTCCCCTTCTCTCAGGTGGACTACCGCGGGGCAGAGGTGACAGTGGATGCGTTCCTGCGCCTGCTGACCGGGCGGCACGATTCGTCTGTTCCGCGGAGCAAGCGGCTTCTCTCGGACAGCAGCAGCCGCATCCTCATCTACCTCACGGGCCACGGGGGGGACAAGTTCCTGAAATTCCGGGACAAGGAGGAGCTGCAGGCTCAAGACCTGGCAGATGCCTTTCACCACATGCACCAGCAGCACAGGTGGGTGGGTCCTTGCTCCCTGTCTCTGTCTCCCTGTGTGCATCTTCCTTCCACCCGCCTCTCACATGGGCAGCAGTCACATCCTCATCCACCTCACGGGCCAGGGGGGAACAAGTTGCTCAAATTCCATGATAAGGAGGAGCTTCAGGCCCAAGACCTCTGGCCAGCACTTTTCACCACCACATGCACCAGCAGCACAGGTGGGTGGGTCCTTGCTCCCTGTGTGCATCTTCCTGCCATCACATGGGCAGCAGTCATATCCTCATACCTTACGGGCCAGGGGGGAACAAGTTGCTCAAATCCCGTGATGAGGAGGAGCTTCAGGCCCAAGACCTGGCGGATGCATTCCACCACATGCACCAGCAGCACAGGTGTGGCGTCCTCCCTTCTGACACCACAAGATCTGGCCTAACCACTAATCTCGCCCTAGATTAACCATATGCACCCAGGATCATAGATGGCTGCAGCATCTCCGGAACTTACCTTACTCAAGAAGATTGTTTCGAGAAGATTAATAAACATGTCTGGATGGTGTAGTCGGTTATCACGCCAGTCTCACACACTGGAGGTCTCCGGTTCGATTCCGGGTTCAGACACATTTTTCGCCTCCAACGCTCCTGCACCCTGGCATTCACCCCTTTCCATAAATCCTTCGACTCCTCCCTCCCCTCCATTAATCCTCTTTCTTAATCCCCCCACTTCCCCCCTCTTTTTTTTTTTTGTCGCAGCAGCAAGTACAACTTGATCCTCCCCTTTCCTTCTCCCTCTTCCTTCCCCCAACCCCCCTTTTATTTGCCACAGCAGCAAGTACAACTCGATCCCCCCCATGGTCGCATAATGCGATTGGATAACCTCCTTCATTCCCCAATATCAGCACCTCCCGTGCCCCTCGTTTCTCCCATATGGCACCTCTGTTTCCCCTGTCCCATCCACCAGGTACCACTCCTTTCTCCATCCACAGTTACAAGCAACTGACTCGCATATTCCTCTCCCATATTTTTCTCACCTCCCTCTCCCGTATCCCATCCTGTAGGTACTATTCAATCCTCCTTGAGACACATGAAACGTGCAAACCCTCTACTCGGAGGCTACCATTCTCTCTGCGTCTGCTCCTATAATGCAAGTAAAAAATCCCATCCCGTCCCATATGAACACTTCCCATACCACTTCCCATACCGCTGTCCCAACCTGCAGGTACCATTCCATCCTCCTTATGATCGACACGTGCCAGGCGCAAACCCTCTACTCCGAGGTATGCCCTGCTTTGCTGCTGCTCTGCACCTAACAGTTTGTCTCTTTACCAATCCATTTCTCTCTCCCTCTCTCCATCCTCCTTATGATCGACACGTGCCAGGCGCAAACCCTCTACTCTGAGGTATGCCCCTCTCTGTTGCTGCTCTGCAGCTAACAGTTTGTCCATTTCTCTCTGATCAACACATGCCATGTGCAAACTCACCATCCTGTCATCCCCACCACCCTGTCATCCCCACCACCCTGTCATCCCCACCACCCTGTCATCCCCACCACCCTGTCATCCCCACCACCCTGTCATCCCCACCATCCTGTGATCCACTCCATCCAATGCATCTCCTCAGAATAGTCCAACATCATTCGCCCTGCGCTGTTTGCCTGTCGCCCCTTGCCATTTACCCCTCACTCTGTGACCCTCTCACTCTGTGACCCTCTCACTCTGTGACCCTCTCACTGCAGATCTACTCTCCTGGCATCGTCTCTGTTGCCAGCAGTGCCAAGGGCGAGATGTCCTACTCCTACCTGCCTGACCTCGATGTGAGCACTTACACGCACTTACACGCACTTACACGCACTTACACGCACATCAAATAAGCAAGTTCTGCTGTGGTCACTTGCTGCTGTTAAATGTCTTACTCCTACCTGCCTGACCTCGATGTAAGCACATGTTTGCACAAGTTGTACCGGCACATAAGCACATCCCAAGATAAGCACGTTTTGCTACGATTACATGCTGCTCTTTGTGATGTCTTTCCCCTACTTGCCTGACCTCGATGTAAGCACATGTTTGCACAAGTTGTACCGGCACATAAGCACATCCCAAGGTAAGCTCGTTTTGTTACAATCACGTGCTGCTGTTGGAATGTCTTACTCCTACCTGCCTGACCTCGATGTAAGCACATGACAGTCCAAGAACATCCCGAGGTAAGCACCACATTTGGCTGTCTCTATATGTCCGCTGTAGCCTGTAGTAAAACTCTGCTATAGTCACATTCTGTGAAAGTCACATGCTGGTATGAGTATTTCACCTTCCTCACGCCTTCCTCTCCATCTCCCCCCCACTCCCCTCGTCCCTTGCCTCTCTGTCTTCACGTTCCATTCTTCCCGCTTTCTCCCCCCCTTCCTGCGTCCAGCTGGGAGTGACAGTCGTGGATCTCTTCACATACCACACTCTGCAGTTTCTGCATCAAATCAATGCTCGCTCCAATGTATCCCTTGCCAGGTAATGCCTCCCCCGCCAGGTAACGCCTTCCCAGGTGGTAACTGTCTGAACTTATGGTAATGTATTTCCAGTGATGTTCTTGCTCTTGGGTAGTGGCTTCCTCATTGTTTACTCACCCCCGTGGCATTCTTTCCTTTTTCCACTACTATCAAATGTCAAATTGAATGTGGTGTATAACCTTGCTTTCAAGTGCTTCCTTTTCTTTCAAATCCTGCCATTCCATGCCATGCCATGCCATGCCATGCCATGCCAGGCCATGCCATGCCATGCCACGCCACGCCATGCCACACCATGACATGTGCGCCCTGAAGTCTCTTTGTATGATCCAGCCTTCCTCATGTCCACTCCAGGCTACCACAGCATATCATCTTGCCTTTCACATGCTTCCCATATGCCATCGTGCCATGCGTCATGCCATGCCATGTGCGCCGTGCAGTCTGTTTGAGTCGTACGATCCAAGGTTCCTCATGTCCACTCCGGGCTACTGCAGCGTCAACTTCCCCGCGCCTCTGCACCAGGTGATGCCAGCACCAGGTGATGCCAGCACCAGGTGATGCCTGCACCAGGTGATGCCTGCACCAGGTGGCACATGCACTGCCACGCCCATGCGATGCCATTGTCATCCTAGATACCTCCTTCTGCTTACCTGTTTTCTCGTCCTGCCAAGATCGCAGTTGGTTGGTAATCAACCATTTCCTTATGCCACCTGATACCTCCATACACCTATCAGTCAATTTGTTTGAATTTTCCCCCTCTGCCCTCCCCACTCTCCCCTCCCTCAATCCTCCTCCCACCCCCAACAGGTGCCAGTCATTGACTATGTCGCCTCAGTCATGCCTGTCCAGATAACTTCTGCTTCTCACCCATGTCATGGCTTATCTGTTTTGGCACTGTCCAAATTGCACCCGCTGCTCGTTCTCCCATCTCTCCTCCCTGTCTCCTCTCCTCTGTCCCTCCCTCATTCTTCCTCACCCCAACAGGTCCCAGTCACTGACTACGTTGCCTCAGTCATGCCTGTCCAGATAACACCTGCCCCGTACCCACTCTCTCCCACTGACACACCTCGCGTTAAACCGAGCGAGGGAAGGAAGGCCGGAGGAGGAGAGAGCTGTGCAGCAGAGGGAGGAGGTGATGGAGGGGGTGGTGTGAGAGAGGGGAAGGGGAACGGTGGGGCCGAGGAAGCAAGGCGTGGGAAAGGCTTGGAGGCGGGAAAGGACTGGACGCTGGACAATGCTGTGATGTGGTTTGGGGACCGTGAGCATGAAGAGGTGTTTGTGAGTCGGTCCCAAGTGGGCACGTGGGCACTGGTGGCGCTGTCAGTACTGACCCTGGTTGGAGCTGCATGGGGGTCACCATGGCGTATGTAGGCATGGCATGATGTGGCCATGGCATTATATGAGCATGGCAACGGCCTAATGTATGAGCATGTTGTGGACCTCTGGTGTTGTTTGGGATCAGGTATTTTTAATTTCTTGGCGAATCATTCTGCTGTAAACCACTTGATCCCAGTATTGTACCCTATGGGCTTTAGAATTAACCAAATTGTTAAGGAAGAAACGCAGGGGTGGTGTACATTTAGTGCAGTAAGTGTGAATTATCGCTTCGGGCTTTGAGGCTCCTCATGAAAAGATGACTTGGCCATTCATTCAGCGTTGACATTCAATAATTAGCGAGGAAAGGACACGCGAAGAGTGACGGACAGGCGAGAATTCATGAGTTTGTTACCTGGTACATTCTCTGTCCGCGAATGGCGCCGGAGCTTCCGTCCGCGCAGTCGTAGTACGAAGCTGCGCGGAAGCAGCATGTTCAGGAGAACCAGAACGGCGGTGAGTCAGTCGCTCGCTCCCGATTGGCCCACTACTCCGTCGCCGTACGCGAAATGTGCGAGTCGCCGTACGCGAAATGCACGTGCTCGCACATTTCGTTACCGTCGCCGCGTCGCGAGGTAACGTGACGCGCCTTTGTATGGAGCCTGAGCACGTTAGATTCGTAACCAGCACGTTGCCTCACTAACCCCAATACTATCTCCAGAGGGCAGCGGGGAGGGGGAACGGAAGGACGAGTGGGGTCAAGGGGAAACACCATAGCCTTGGTAGTACCGGGGTGGGGATTTTGCTTTCGTGCAGAAGGAAGCCTTTTCGATGCTTCTGGACTTGGACCCGTTGTTGGCTGCATGACTGCTCGTCACCCGGGCAGCAGCACACGCAAAAGTGATTTCAAGCATGATGGTGCTCGTGAGGCGCTTGAGTCAGAAGCATGCCCCATACAGGTGCCTTAAAAAAAAGAGCCTCCTCGCAATGGCGCCTCGCAAAACGGCGCCTCACAAAATGACTTGCGCCATGCACGCACTCAAACTCGACACAGTCACCACCACTACATGCTACTGAAATAATCAGAGGACCTTTGAAGCACCATATACTATCTCAAGCTCCAAGTGAGCAAGAGTGCGGGTGACCTTTGATTTGAGTCGACTCAAAAGTCACCTCAACGTCAACACACACCGTCTCATTACACTCTACTGACGTCAACGTCAACTATTGGAAGCATCAGATACCCCCTTGTCGTACCTACTGACCTAGAGAGCACCGCTGGCTGCTGCTCTGCACCGGGGGCTGCTGCACCATGAGCACCGGGGGCTGCTGCTCTGCTTCTGCTTCTCCCTTCTGCCCCGGGTGCAGAATCAGAAGGCGACCTACATAGCTCGTTCGCGCTTTCCGCTTTCCCCTCCCGCCTTTCCTGAGCTGGAGCCTGGAAACCTCGAGCGACCAAGCCTAGTCAGGGAGATGACTTTTGAGCCAACTCAAAAGTCAACTCTTTCCCCTCCCCTCCCTCCTTTCACGAGCTGGAAGCGTGGAAGTTTCAAACAACCAAGCCTCTGCGAGGCCTTTCCTTGCTGCTCCTTTCTCCTCCTCTCATGTCCTCCTTGCCCACCCCTCCCACCCCCCAATCCTCCCACTCCTCCCACTTCTGCCTCCAGTTGGCAGGAGCCGGGAATACCGGAGGCTCAGAGGAGAGCTTTGTTGCTTTCTGCTTGCTTTCTCTTCTCCTATCGTCACCACCTCCCACCCCTCCCACGCCTCCCACCTCTCCCACCCCTCCCATCCCTCTCACCCCTCCCATCCCTCTCACCCCTCCCATCCCTCTCACCCCTCGCCTCCCTACCTCCCTCACTTGGCCGCTCCTTCTCATCGCCCTCTATTTAAAAGTATAATTTTATTTTTCAAGTTTTCACATGTCTGGATGGTGTAGTCGGTTATCACGCCAGTCTCACACACTGGAGGTCTCCGGTTCGATTCCGGGTTCAGACACGTTTTTTATCTTGTGATTCTTTGTTGCACACCTGCCCTGCCAGGCTCACCTGACGCAATCCTTTCCCCTCCCTTCCCTTATCCCTCGTTTTTCCACCTCCCCCTTCTCTTTGTCACAGCAGTAGCTACGATTTGATCCTTCTCATGATTGCATGATGCGATTGGATTGCGCCTTTCCTTCTCCGATTTGACACCATGGTCCAAAGCAACTGAATCGCCCTTTCCTCCCCGGTGTGACACCTTCCTTAACCCCTGCCACTCGGTTTCCTCACGCTCTTGTAATGCAACTCTCACACAGAAACTCCTCCCTTTCTCGTGTCGCATCCTACCAGGTACCACTCCATTTGAGTTGACTCAAAAGCGGACTTAAAAGCAGTTTCCTCGGGCTCTTATAAGCAATTCTCACAGCAACTCTCACAACAGCAACTCTCACAACAGCAATTCTCACAACAACAATTCTCACAACAGCAATTCTCACAACAGCAACTCTCACACAGCAACTCTCACACAACAACTCTCACACAGCAACTCTCACACAGCAACTCTCACACAGCAACTCTCACACAGCAACTCTCACAACAGCAACTCTCACAACAGCAGCTCTCACAACAGAAACTCTCACAACAGCAACTCTCACAACAGCAACTCTCACAACAGCAACTCTCACAACAGCAACTCTCCCCAAATGCTGCCTCTGCCCGCTGCTGCTTTAGGAGAAGTAGCAGCACCATCAGGGCTTTGTGTAGCCGTGTCTGGAGGCAATCTTGGAGGAGCAACGGCAGAAAGAGAAGGAGACGGTGAAGGAGAAGCAGCAGGAGAAGGAGAAGCAGCAGAAGGAGAACGAAAGGCAGAAGCAGAAGCAGAGGCAGAGGCAGAAAAACGGGATCAGCCATTACGACCACCACTGCTGCTTCACACTGCTGCTTCCACTGCTGCTGCTGTTGCCACTCCTGCTGCTGCTGCCTCTTCTTCTGCTACTGCTGCTACCACTGCCCCTGCTGCTGCTGCTGCTGCTGCTGCTGCTGCTGCAGCAGCTGTTACGCTGAAAGCACCAGCTGCCAATGTACCTACAACTGATCATGGGACATCCAGGTTAATTCCAGGTTTACCCGCTGTAAACCTGGAGTTAACCAGTATCCCATATCTGTGGGGGCATTCCTCAACTTAGCATCCAGTCTACACCCTAACATGACCAACTCTGTAAACAGTACAAGTAATCCACCTTCTACTGATGTGCTGCCAATGGTTCCACGGACCACAAGTGGATGGGTGGCCTGCCAATTGTTGGAAGTCTGACCAGCGGGCTTCCTGGCTTGGCGTCTATCCAGTCCAGAAGATGATAGAATCATCACAGAAGGGTGTGTCCTCCATGCAGCGCACAATCGACGATTTTTGTAAATAAATCGTGACACTACTTAGGCTAAAAAACCAAGCACTTATTAAATATGTTGTCTTGATTTGACATGTAGCCACTTCTCAGAAACTAAGTCACATAGGTAGAGAGAATGATGTGTAAGGGTAAAGGGGGAGGGATACAAGAAAGTGTCGAGAGTATTGTGTGTGCCCCCTAGGATGAACCTCACTACAGCCTATAAACGATATAACGTAGTTTGACACACCCCCATAGGCTAAGTGAGGGGCATCAAAACAAGCAGAGCACACAAATGGTCACGACTCACAAGACCAGTCAAGAGAAAGAAAACAAAGCTCAGGGTGGATCACAATGTCACCACACAGTCTGAGCACATGCAAGTGGCCACAAGGACAGTTCAAGAGTTCACAAGCATATATACAAGAAACAAGAGGCAAGGCTGCAGCAACCGAGGACCTGCCTCAACAAGGCCTAGCTGCAGACAGAACATGTGGTGGTCACCAGGCAGTGCAATCTTGGTGAAGATGTCTGTAGTGTTGGCCTCTGACTCCACGAAGTCCAAGCGTGCGTGGCCGAGTCACTGCAACTCTCGCAGGAAAGAATACCTCACATCGATGTGCTTCACTCTGCTCTCCAGTCGAGGCTCTCGACACAGGAGGACCATGACTTTGATGTCAATGAGCAAGGTCGGTGCAGAGCTCGGCCGCTCGCCAAGGTCAGTGAGCAAGAAGGTCAACCAGCGAAGCTCCTGCGCAGCCATGGCACCGGCGTAGATCTCTGCCTCTGTGCTTGACTGCGTCACAGACGACGACTGTGTAGACCTCCACGACACAGCTCCAGCGTCCAAGCTGAAGCAGTAACCCTGAGTAGTCTGCTGAGTCTCAACGTCGTCGGCGTAGGAAGAGTCGCAGTGACCAGTCAGTTCAACTGGCTATGTCCCTCCAAGCACAAGCCCCGTGCTTGATGTAGTCGCTAGGTACTTCGCCACCCTCACAGCTGCCGTCCAGTGAACAGGACGGTGTCTCCCAGTCGCAACAAAGCGAGAGAGGACGCTGAGAGGAAAGGCGAGGTCCGGGCGAGTACAAGTCATCAGGTACATGAGGCAGCCCACAAGCTCTGCGTACGGACCACTGGACTCTAAGGGCTTGTCACGAAAAGGGCCGGTGAGTCTGTGGTCGACGGCAAGAGAAGTAGGCTGAGTGGTGGAAAACTGAAACCCGAACTGCTAAAGAAGTACCTGCTGCACCATGTGTGACAGAAAAAGTGTAATGGTGCGAGCAGCTTTGTCCCTGGTGATCTGCAGGCCAAGGTAACGGCGCAACTCACCTAGGTCAGTGCACGTATGTCTCTTCTGCAACTCGGATTTCACCTCAGAAAGAGCGACCCTGTTTGGTGTAGCGAAGACAAGGTCATCGACGAAGACAAGAGGGAAGGATGGAGTAGAACCAGTGCAAACAAACAACGACGGGTCGGCTGATGAAGGACGGAACCCGGGGTCAGCAAGAGTGGTGCGTAGCGTGTCGTGCTACTCTCGGGGCCCCTGGTGAAGACCGTAGACTGGTCGCCGCAGACTCCATTGGGTCCCAGGAGAGAAAGTGCTAGTGAAGCCAGGAGGACGACGCAGCCAAATCTCTTCGTGCAGGCAGCCCTGGAGAAAAACAGTGGAGAAGTCGAGAGAGTGCAGCTCATAGTCTTGCTGTGCTGCAACGTGAAGTAACACCCGAAGAGTAGTCATCTTCGGGGTCGGGGCGAAGGTCTGGAAGAAGTCAACTCCATCGCGCTGACTGAAGCCCCTAGCCACATAGCGCGCCTTGAAGACAGGCGGTGAACCCGGCAGCCGCTTCACCTTGAAGATCCACATGACATCGACAACGTTCATCCCAGGCGCGGGAACTGCGTCGACGTACGTGCCTGTGGATCTCCAAGACGCCATCTCTGCGTCCATTGCGCTATCCACTGAGAGGCCCACTAGCCGGACACTGCCTCACGGTACGTGCAAGGAGTCGGTATGTCAAGGGCGTCGGGGTCTCCCTCAGGGGCTAGCAGCATGGCACAGAGATGGGAAGAAGCAGCTGCCAAGAACTCCAGCTCAAACTGCCTGTCCTCTAGGACGTCACAGCCAAGGGCAGACTCACCCCCGGCGGACAAACGACGGGTATGAGGAGCAGCCACCATTCAGTTGGCGTAGTCAAGGCCGCGAGTGGCGGAAAAGTCGGTGACAGCGGCAGTAAGAGCCGAGACAGACGACGGAGAGGCAGGAGGGTCTGTGAGGCGAGAACACGAGTGACAACACGACAAGCGGCACGGTAGTAGTAAGTGATAGGGGAAGAGGTAGAGGTCGTAAGAAACGATTCAGGAGGTGACGGGAGAACAAACGGAGGCGGAGAACGACGAGGACTCGAATAAAATAAGACAATGCGAAGGACGTCAAAAGGAGACGAGGGACGCGCACGAGCGGGACGGCGAACTGTCCAGTCGTGCGGGACAACAGGAGACGAATGTGACCGAGGAGGAGAGAAGACAGCCGGAGACGAGACTGGGGGGGAACATAGGACCGTATACAGGAGGAGACAGAGAGCGGTCTGAGGGGAAGGAAGACCAAGGGCCCGAAGGCCACTCAAGGGTGGAGACAACTACTGCAAAGGTGGCTGCTGCGGCTGCTGCTGCTGCCGCTGCTGCTGCTGCTGCTGCCGCTGTTGCTGCTGCTGCTCCTCCTCCAGCTGATGTAGCTTCCGCTGCTGCTGCTCCAACTCCAGCCTCTCCTGCTCCAACTTCTCTTGCTCCTCACGCTCCAACCTATGAAGCTCCTAGAAACGGGTCGGGTAGCGGTGGGCGCCGGGTCGGGTCGGGTCGGGTCGGGGAGGAGGGGTAGGCGCCGTAGAAGTAGCGCCACCAGCTCCAACTCCCTCAGAATTAGCACCTTTAGTGCCAGTACCGACGACTCCAGCACCCCAAAGACCAGCACCTCCTGAACTGGCACCCCCAGTGCCAACACCGGCAACTCCAGCACCCCCAGTATCAACGTCTCCAGCTCCAGCACCCCCAAATTTAGCACCTCCAGTGCCAGTACCCTCAGCTCAAACACCCCCAAAACTAGCACCTCCAGTGCCAGTACCCTCAACTACAGCACCCCCAAAACAAGCACCTCTAGTGCTAGTACCCTCAGCTCCAGCACCCTCAGAACTAGCACCTCCAGCGCCCCTGCCTCCAACACCAACTCCTCCAGAGTCTACTAAAACCGGTCGCGCTAGTGCCGAAGGCTGCTGCGTTAACTCTGAAGACGACTTTGGGAAAGGAGACGACACCTTGCGTGCAACCGAGGGAAGAGGAGTAGCGTGTGACACACCTAACAAGGCAGGACCAGAGAGGGGCGGATGTACCGGAGGAGCAGGAGTAGGAGGAGGAGTGGGGGCAAGGAAAGGGGGGGGGGGGGGGGGGGAACCGGGAGACCTCGACAGGGGTACCGGGTGTAGTAGGACACGGACTCGTCAAACCGGACGTCGCGAGAGTCGAGAATCCGGTGGAGGGGCGGGTGGTAAAAGGTGTAGTCAGAGGAGCCCACTGGGAAACCAAGGAAGACACAGGGAAGGGCGCGAGCCGAGAGCTTGTCCGCAGAGGTGTCGCGGACAAGCGCAAGGCAGCCCCAGACACGAAACTCCGACGCGACACCAGGGGACCCAGTCCAAAGACTGGTCGGTGAAGCCTCTGGCCGAGAGACACGAGGCCAGAGGTTCAGCTGGTGAGCGGCGTAGCGAACCGCGTAGGGCCACAGAAAATGGGGGCGCATGGGCGTGGATCATGGAGGTACGAGCGATCTCCATGACCAAGCCTATGCGGAGCCCAACAACCCCATTCTGCTGTGGGGACTCTGGAAGCGTCCAGGACTGGGTGATGCCCTGCTCGCGACAGAATCCAGCAAGAATGCCGGAGCGAAACTCACCCCCGCGGTCAGAGTGAAGTCAACTGACATGACGGCCACGAGTGGTTTCAGTGGCCAACAAACACCTGATTAGCGTAGAAGTCACGTCGGACTTCTTCGCTAGGCGGAACATGGTGGTGTAGCGGGAGTAGTCGTCAATGACCACAAAAAAGAAGCTCTTCCTCTCGAGTTCAGGGCGAGGGGCAGGGCCCCAGACGTCCAAGTGGAGAGTCTCGAAGGGCTCGGTGGCCGGACGATGGGAGGAGGAGTAAGGGGTGGCGCGCAGCCGACCCTAGACACAGGGAGTGCACGGCGGTGCAGGCGAAGGAGGGAGCAACGGCAAGACTCGCGGGATGCCTAAGACAAGACCTTGATTGGACATGCTACGAAGGCGTGGGAGGGACATGTGACCAAGTCGGTGG